ATGCATAATAAATAGTTATGAGTGATTCCGACATAACTTCTATATTTATTTTGTCTTATAATTTTTGCATCTTTTTAATGCGTAAACACTCATTTTATTCAAGATACATTTTAAGCGTAAATATATAAAACACTGATAAAAAAAAGAGTCAGCTACTTAGAGAATTAGTTGACAAAAAATTTACCCATTTTTGAGGATCGATGCTCTATTTATGTAATCTAAGAGGTGTACCTACTTATGAAACAAATCTATATATTATTTGTGACCTAAGTTTTATCTGTCTAGATAACAGACTAAATGTATTAGCAATAGTTAATGTAGAGACACGACATACAAACAATTTAGCAAGTCCAAAATAGTTTAGTCCTATAATATTATGAATGAGAAAGTTTGTAATGATGGATGAATGTTTGTTACTCTTTCAAGCAAAAACTACTGAACATATTGAAATGAAATATGGTACACATGGAACATGGTGGTTATATTATAACTTAGTACATAGCATACTTTATATACTAATTCATGCGGGCGAGGTACAGCTAGTATATAATACATGTAAACACAAAGTCACAATCATTGATACCCTACTAAGAGAGAACCATTGGAATCCAACCAATTTTTCTATAAAACATTATAATATATATAAGTGGGGGGAAAAATTAAAAAATATATTTTTCCAAACTAGTTTGACAATTGGTTGCAACGTGTTAGTATTTCTAAATTGAGGAGTGGTTTTATTTATTTTTTACCGTTATAATAATAATTTATCATTATTTTTGTTTTTATCCGATTGTACTGAATAATTTTGTAAAAAAACATATACTAATAAGAAACATTGCGATTTTTTGAGTTTTAAGATTTATTCATTTAAGAAAAGATCGCATATTGTCTGTCATTTTCCATTAATACGTAATAATAAAAACCTGTCGCCAATTTCAAAATTTTACTTCAAATTATCTTTAATTACAAAACAATCAACGAAAATCATAAGTCTCGATTCCAGCGCCATCTAGTATTTATTTGCCAATTTTGTTTAGTAAACAATCTTAAGGAATCACTTTAGGATTTTAATGACTTACATACCGCAGTGGATAATTACAGAAATATATGAATACAGTACTGACACATCTGAAAAGGTAGTTTCAATTCTTGTTCATTTACGTTCGCAGTACGCGTATACCAGGCAGAGCGTGACGAAGGCAAAGAACCGTGGTTTCTCTATTGTTGACTGACAGTTCCCATATAATTAAGAAGTGAACCTACGTACGTACATCACGCACTATGGAAATCATACTTATTATTAAATTAAAAAATAACAGCCGTAATCCCTAATAGTGTAGTCAGATTCATTAATTGACTGTTGGTATTGTGGTGAACGTACGGAAAAAATTTGATACTTTTAAGTATAGATATAAATTCCTGATTTATATAAATATAGCTAAATATTAAATTTATTTTATTATAAAGATTTATTTTGTCGTAACTTTGTAATCACTATTGCATGTTAGTAAAGATATGTGAAACAATCTTTTGTAATATTACCATATAATCATTTTGTACCACAATAAATTTCATTCATTCATTCATTCACTTTCGAGCGTATTTCTACAAACGAGCCTACCGCTGTCGCATGGATTAATTTGATTTATTATTGGCATTTTTTATTATCAGACATTGGCCAGACTTTATTTTATTCTTGCGGTACAGTAATAGAAAAGACAAAAACGTACAATACATAACTTCTCATAAAACGATTGGCTAATTGATAAATTTCATTTTTAAATTTAACGATATCATTTCATAATTTCAATATTTTCATTTTAGTTTCATTTATGTCTGTTATGTTTTAGCTTTGCCTGCACACAGAACAGATATAAGAATGATTTGCTGCTACCTGGCAGATTGGTATGGTTGCTCTTCCTAGATAATGAACTCCCTTGCCCAACAATTTGAAAATCATTTTGGAGGATCATAATTAGGAGAGCCTATTGCTATAAAATGACAATTAGCTAAGAAGAAGTAGATAAGAAACTACAAACAAACAAAAGAGTAATTTAATAATGAACAAATCATAATTTTTTTTATTAATAAAAATTGTTTTTAATGGTGTACTGAGCATGGCAAGGATAGTATTGTACACACACAATACTATCCTCCTATGTGCTCACATTGAAATGAATTGAATGATATATTATAAAGGAAAGTAGCAATGCTCCACTATAGACATTATTTGGCCAAATTAACTGAACAATTGTTAATTACGTAACCTTATTTATAAACCTAACTACCTACTGCTAATTATACTGTACCATAAAATTTAAATAAAACAAAAACATAGAGCAATTATTCATAACATTTATTGGTAACAGAGTATGCCTAATGTAACAATTTTAAATAACTTAAGATTAAAAATAAATAAATAAATAAAATCAGTGCAACAGTAAGTGAGTTTAACATAGATTTATGTCGATGATTTGTATAGTAATATATATGCTAATACAATATATTATCCACAAATAGCTATAGGTGATTGATTCTCATATTAAGTATAGATATAAAATCCTGGATAATTTATCAGAAGTTTGCTATGTACCTCACGTTGCTCTTAGATTATATAGATAGAGCATCGAACCTCAAAAACGGGTCAGCTTTTTGTTAGCTAATTGTCAATATATTTTTATCAGTGTTTTACATATTTACGCATAAAATGTATCTTGACGTATTATTTAATAAATAAAATTAGTGTGTACACATTAAAAAGATGCAAAAAGTTATAAAGGAATCACTCATAACTATTTATCACCTAAAATTGTATGAAAAAGTTGAACCGTTTTTCTTGAAGCATTTCTCTATCTTTATATTATCTAAGACCTTGCCATATTGCAAGATTATAGCAATGGAGGATTTATTGCTATATTTAATGATTGGGATATTAGATTCCTAATGTTTTGTTGTAACTTTAAACTATACCATTGTAAAAACACTGTGGACAACTGAAAAAATCTGTGTTAAACTCACAGCTAAGGCATGTAGGTACAATATTTCGGTATAAAATTAGTCGCATTTTTGTTGGGTCTTGGATTTCCCCAACATTCTTCTTAGCACGGAGTAACACAGCCAGAAGATTATGTACAACTTGGATTCAGTATTTATAATCATATAAGTGGCCAATATGGCCACAATGATTCCCAATGCGTTCAGCATGATTTGAACAGCCTTATTGTAGATGGTATCATTACTGTAGGAAATAGAACTGGGCAATTTCTTGCACGGACAGTCAGATTTGCATTCTTGCTCTAGTAAGTTTTCTGTGAATTAAAATTGTTTTTTGTAAACACTCATATACTCAATTATAACTTGATTCTCTTTTTAGTAGACAGATAAAAATATCAATATTAACATAATAAATAAATACATAACTGATTGAAAAATAAATACAAAACTATATTTAATTATTATCATTCCACTGCATTACCTGATCGGATTAGAACAAAAACAAAACCTGTGTTAATGCAAGACATTTGACAACTTTTGTTTCAACTGCTTATTAAATTTTATTTCACTCTACCTATTAATTTAAACATGATTGAATAATAAACATCTGAATACCTTTACAAACTCATATTTATAATATATATAGCTGTATCTCGCGCCTTTGCTCTGTCTTAAACATGTGTACCGAGTACCAAACTTAAATTTTCATTCAAATTTCATTCAAATTCGTTTAGTACTTTTTACGTGTAAGAGTAATATACATCCTCATGAACATTTGCATTTATAAAACTAATAGGAATTTGGATAGAAGCGTAATGAACAGAAATAACAATACCTTCGACAGTTTCACAAATAGTAGTCATCTTCGCCAGATGCACTTCAAGCTGTCTTCCGGATTGGAATGATCTAAATGATATAAATTTTAAACTTAAATATTGATTGCTTCATACAAACCGGGGCCTTGGTGTGAACAGGAAACATTTTTGGTACAAGAAGAGTTTCGACTCCAAGATCACAAGAATTCGTGCGGAAAGAATATTGAATTTCTGGTCAAAAAACGTTTTCATTTCCTGAAAGGTTTTTGTTTGACCGAAAGTAGTAGTAGATTGAATTGGCTAATTATGATTAGATGAGTTGTATAGGAGTCAATAATTTTCAGACTCGGCGTTAACCTATGGTCGATTTCAGATATTAAAACAGAAAGTGAACGAACTACTAGTGTGTAAGTGGACAAAAGCGATGTTTAAAATTATAGAAGGAATTATAAAATTTAATGGAAATATAAATAAATAAATAATTGACCCAACAGTTAGACAGTCCGCTGATTTTCAATAGTAGTAGGTAGGCGGTAAATTTAAGGAGAGGGAATTATATAATATCTCTTTTTAAATTGCTTTATCCGGTCGATATGCGTATGGTCACAGACGAAGAACGTTATTACTAAATAATATTATATTATCTGTGTTACAAGTTTTTTTTATGCAACTTAGAATGGCAAACAAGTTGATGGCCTACCTGATGGAAAGTGGTAACTGTCGCCTATAGACATGAACAGTACCATGGACATAGCAGAGTATACTGTTTCGCCTATGATACCCCCCATGCAAGTGTAGTAGATAGGAAAATATAATTATAACCTACTAATTTCTTTTATATATTTAATATTAAAATGTAAATATATCATTGACAATTTGAAATTTCTGATAAATAAAAATATATCACACAATAGGTATATCTTACCAATTTATTAAAAATATATTTATTAAACCAATAATTCCATGCATCCTTAGTTTAGAAAATAACACTTAAATATATACGAAGTTAGGTTGATATTAGCACAGACAAAATATTAATAGGTATACACAATTTGAAAATGTGTTTTAGATATTTTACTTAATCTGTTTTTTTCTCATACTCTCGCTTCATCTGAATACTCTTATTGTCGCGTAGTATTTCACGAATATAATAGCGAGCAGTTTTTTTCATAGCCTTGTTCTAAATATTGCATTTTTTGTAAACTCTTTAGCTGCTATAAAGCTTCAGAAGTGACTGGTAGAGGCATAGTTCGATAGCATTTATCAAACAATCAAGATGCCTTCCCCTTGTGAACCGTGCAAAGGTAAGATCTGATATTTAATCATTAAAATTATTAACAGATCGAGTGTCTCGTTGACCACATTTGTAAGCAACAAATCTATCTACCCAACCTAGGATAGATGTAAACACAATTTTTTGACCTGTTCATACAATAATCTATCTAATAAATAATGCATATAATCTATACTAGCTAGTTTAAAAGTAATAAATGCAGGCACAGGAGTTTTTTAATGACCACCTGATCACTAAGTGGGCAGTAGATATCATGCGGTCAAAGCAATAGCAATCTAAATCGGAATATAACATTTTGCTTTAAATTATAATACCAAAATATTTTTTAGACCATGTAATAATATCTTGATTATACTATTCATAGACTCCTGCAAGGACGGATCCTGCAAAGACAACTGTTCTTGCAAGGACAAAGGCTGCAACGATTGCTCTTCTACAGGTAACTTTTTTTTATTATAATATTTGTAGTTAGTAAATTTTAGGTTAAGTAGGGGTTAAAGTCCTATTTCTTATAATTTTTAAATAAGAATGTATTAAATTTAAAATATCTTTACGGTGTACATTATTTCTAAAATATATTTAAATAATACTTGCAAACGAAAAAGTTTAAAGTCCCCCAGTGTTATTCTGACAGAAAAATCCGTAGGCGAGTCTGATAGAATGACTGAAAAAAAATTTACGATTAATGGGTAGAAAAAATTTCAAGTAGCCACCTCGTACAGATAAACGTATTAGTGAACATAACATAAAACGAACCTTGGATGGAAAAATATACACCGCCATTACAGGAAGGAACATTTTTAGTAGGTTATGTACTTGTAGTTACATGTATATGTGTGCATTGTATTCATAGTATTTAATTGTAGATGTGTTATTATGATTGACTGGTATATACATTAAGGATCTGGTGTTATTAGAAAATAAAATGCCCTTCGTCTGTATACGGCATGAAAAAATGTTTTTTTTTATGCAATTTAGAATGGCAAACAAATAGACGGCCCACCTGATGGTAAGTGGTAACCGTCGCCTATAGACATAAGCAGTATCTTGAACACAACAGAGCATACTGTTTCGCCCATGATACCCCTCATGCGTTGGCACTCTTGAGGACTTAATAGTTATTCCTCTGTACCCTGTAAATCACTGCCATATTCCACTCTTCAAACCGAAACACAGCCATGCAAACACATGGGACAGAGGTGCCCAAGTAAGCGAGTTTTGTAAATTATGTATTAGGAAGAAGCCAATACAATTTGTTGTAATTCCAGGTGGATGCTGTTAAACTAGACATCTGCTAACTTCCACATGGACGCAACACGACGCCATCGACACCGGTCGTCCGTCTGCTCTAGGGTCACCAAAGTACTGGAGGCCTGCTTTCCTGTCGCTTTCTCTATCGTCTTCTTTATAACTATTGCTCTGTTCTACTGTCTAATATAAAAGTCCTTGGAAGTTATCTATTTTTTTATTTATCTTGCACCGTATCCCTGAATTAACATTAAAAGTATCCTATAAGGTCTCTCATCATCATCATCATCATATCAGCTTTTAACTACCCACTGATGAACGTAAGTCTCCCCCTTGGGGGTTTTGCCAGTAGTCGCCATGCTTGGCAAGTGGGTTGGTAACCGCAGTTAGGCTTTGGAGATGTTCTAAGAGGGACGCTGCTACTCTTCCCTTGCTTTCCCTTAGTCGTCTGTTATGACAATGGTCTATATATGCGCTAATTTTTATTAAATAAAATCCATTTGGCCGTTGAAACTTAATTGAGTAACAAACATAGAACAACTCAAAATTTCGGCATCTACATACATATAATTAAAAATATATTAATGAAAATATATCAAGGGCTTTGTATATGTTTTAAGAGGGACGATGCTGCTTATTTCTCGTCCATTATGCAGTGGTACCCCGTTAATGTATATATCAATAACGTAAGCAAGGTAAACTATTCCGTTTCGTCCCATAAAACATTGACGAAAATCAGTAATCTTCCATTAATTGGATACTCTCAATTATTACTTATTTTTTCGTAAGTATGTTTGTTAGTACGTTTTATTGCTAATAGTAAACCAATATTGATGTTTGTTTTATTAATTGGAACGATAATTTTTATCCTTACTAAAATTATGAATGTGGAAATAAGTTTTTCTGTTTGTTAATTCTTACTACGAAATAATTTACTGCGTACTAATCGCTACATTAGAGATGAAGAAAGGAAAAAATCTGGTAAACACGTACTATTAGCGATGAAGAAAGAGATAGGCTTTTTTTCCCTCGATTAGTGAACACATGAAACTAGTAACCAATATTGCATTGAATAAAGTTAAAATATGCATTATGCACGTGATTTTAAAATGTGTTCTTTTTCAAATAATCATTAAGTAGGCTTTTTGTTCATTAAACATGTAAACAACATAACTGTCTACCTACCACAGGTTTTTTTTATGAGTGAAAATGGTATGGTAACCTCGTCTGCGCTAACGGGATTCGCTGGCGGAGCACCAGTGAAGGGTGATAGATGAGAATGAAAACAGGACAGTAAGCCCATCATGATGAATTCATCAGGAATTAACCATGATAGTTTCCAGGGAGAACCGCGTGGAAGTCGACTTGGTTGGGTATATTGCTAGCAATGGGATTCTCTGTCTCCATTACTAACAATCCCTTTCCCCCACCTACCATAGGTTAGTATGTCCATATGACTATATTCTGCATAAATATTTTTTTAAAGTGATAAGTAACGTATTTTTATGTCGTTTTATTGACAAAATTATTACAGCAGTGACAGCTCTCTTACAGAACAATTGACAAAACATCCAGGGAGTACTAGCTTAGTTTCCTTAATATCTGTGAAGTTCATGACCCAAAGGTCATTTGCAAAAAAAGTTTAAAGTAAATAGTATTATAGTTCAGCAGGTGTAAATAACATTTGCTTTGTGCTTCGGAAAGCTATAGTCTAGTGAGTCACATTAAAAGTCGTTGTGTACGAAGTATGCTGTTTTTTTTATACCACTGAGGTGGCAAAGAAGCATACGGCCCACCTGATGGTAATCGGTTACCATAGCCTATATATGCCTGCAATACCAGAGATATGGCGCGCGTGTCGTCGACCCTGAAGAAGCCTCTTTACTCCCCTTTTAAAGAACCCCATGCAGAAGTTTCTTGGGATAACCTCGGCAGGCAGGGCGTTCCCGATACACCCTCACCAGAGTAATAGTAGTCATAGACTGATTATTAAATGTTTTTTTTTTACAACACAGGGGGCAAACGGGCATGCGGCTCACCTGATGGTAAGTGACTACCGCCACCCACAACACCTACGGCATTGCAGGTGTGCTGCCGGCCTTTTAAAAAGGAATATGCTCTTTTCTTGAAGGTTATGTTGTCGTATCGGTTCGGAAATACTGCTGCTGGAAGTTGATTCCAAAGAGTGGTTGTGCGTGGATAACATTCAAATTTTATAACTTTACGTTAGAATAAAAAAAAAATAAGACTGATTGTATTTTGATTATTTAAAATTGCAAACAAATCTATATAATTAAAGTATTTCCATTTTGATTTAATCATGAAAAGTGTATTCGGGATGATAATAAAATCATTGCGATGATATATTTTAAATATTGTATTTATTTCATAAAACTATCTTTGATTAACATTATCCATGCGCCAGTAAATGGAGAAGAAAGCACTTCATGGTTGAAAATGTTCAGCAACAACCACCTGAAATTATGATGAAACATATTATTATAGAGTATCCAGTGATCTGAGGGCCTACTGTGAAATTTCAGGACCGAACGAAATACTTTGGTGATAAAATAACATAATACGTATCGTTTAAAAATATAAAAATGTTATAATATTGTTCCATTGGACTTTTATAGTAGGATTTATGACGAATAAAATATTAAGCCCTATTTACTGGATCTATTTCGGTATGAACAAAAACACAAAATTGAGTCCAAACTTCGCAATTTCATTCTACTAAAGACCTAACCCCAAATCGATGTATATATGGATGGGGTATTATTCGATAATTGTTAGAAATGGTGTATGAATATTTATTTTAATTAATATCGACCTCCTATATCTCCTCCTATAGTCAACCTGGCTCTACCACGGTTCCGTACATATTTATTGAATTGAATAATAGTTTACCTTGTTTAGTGGAACAATCGGTACAATCGGCTTGACAAGTGCAGCCGTCTTTGCAGTTGGCGCCATTCTTGCACGAGTCTAAAAAATACAATGTAAATATTTTTTATTCATTGGTACACAGGTAAAAGTGCCCACGGTCTATCTGATGGGAAGTGGCTGCTGGCGCTCATGAATACTTGTGATACATGGGAGGTTGCTTGTATCTTGTCAGCCAAAAAAATAATATATTATTCTAAGTAATAAAAAATCTAGTTCTAATTAGATACATTTATTTGACAGATTCGTTGTAAAAATGATCATATTTATTATTAAATGTTTTTCGGATTAAATTTTATTTTGAACTTTGTTGATATTCGACAATATCCGTAACAAGATGCATTTTTTAAATAAAACATTTTTTAATATCAGTATGTACATAATGTATTACATTACTCGATATAATTATCTATTACGATAATATTATCTTAGTAGTTAATTGTATATAATTTTAAGAAATTAAATTGGAGTACATATGAATGAAAATTATTTTTATGCATGTAGCATGAAAAATAAATGATTTATGTAAAAGGGATTTATATTCCGATTCCGATATTTTAGGTTTGGAACCCTAAAAATATTTAAATACTTTAAAATATACAAATAGAATAATTTAAAATGTTTTTATCTGAAAATAAAAAGCTTACCTTTGCAGGGCTCACAAGGTGCGGGCATTTTGGGCGTTTTAGTTGTTGATTGTTGATACTCGTAGAATCAGGTGAAGACTACTGATCTGCAACTGCTGAAGTCCATTTAAATAATGAAGGTTTAACGAAAAAAGCCGGTCACAAGGCTGCCTCATACGTATTTGGAGACCTCGATGTTTTTCTAGACGTTTCGTGGTTTTGGTGGTTTGTGATGTTAGACCAATCTACAGTAACAGTAAGTAAATTTATAAAAATGGAAAGTTTATGCAATGTACGAGTGTGATGCAAAAACTAAATAAATTATCGCGTCTCTTAGACTTTTATTTATTATTTCTATAATTTTAGCCTTCTGTCATGTCAGCCATTCGAACTTACTGAACATGGGCCTTCCTCATATAAACTGGCATAATAAATGGGGCCAATCCTTACGACAGTTTACTATTGTGAGGATTTTGCCAGTAGTTGCCATTTTTGGCAGATAGGTTATTTGGCTTTTAGTCATGTTTTAAGAGAGACACTGCTGCCCATCTCTCGACCATTAAGTGTCCTTAGTCGCCTCTTACAATGCCCATGGAAAAGGAAGGGATTACCCATTCTTTACCGAAACGAGACCAAGTTTTATAGTTTACAATGTAGTAATATAATAATACTGTGTACTGTATACTATGCCTTGTTATTGACATTTGTAAATTAATTGTAATGTAATGTAAAATATTACTGGTTATATTGTTGCTTCATATTTTTCTTATTTTGTTGTATTTTATGATATCTTCTTGTAACTTATAAAAGATATTCAACACAATGTAGTATTGTTGCGGATAAATAAATTGAAATAATGAGTGTTAAACATATTGCAGAAATCTATTTGACACTCATTATTCTGCGACATCTGCGGAAGCAACAACAGCGTCCTAACAGTAATTGCAGAGAAGCCAGCTGTTCAGTGCAGGAGGTGGACAGTTCTACTAGAATCCTCAGTATCACATTTTGGTTATATTAATCTGTTTCGATAGAACTCGATTAAAATGTAAACAAACAAATAGTTAAGTCGACTATAGACAGTCTGCTGCTGTCTAATGGTAGTATAAATCAAAAATCAATTATTCAATTGAATGTTTTGAGTTATTACTAATTACTAAATGTAATAAATATATAAAACGTGTTTTGTGATAATTTCAACGAAATTTGGTTACCTTTTCATTTAGTTTTGATGTATTATAATCACTAAGTAGTTGAATTAATATATTACAATATGAATCACAGAAAGCTATTGAAACTATTTTTTGTGCTACGGCTTATGGCAAACAAGTTGACAGTCCACCTGATAAAAAGTAGCACCCGTCGCCTATAGACATAAATATCATACCATATATCATAGTCATCACAGAATACACTGTGTCACCCATGATGATCTTAATGCGTTGCCATTCCTGAGAAAATAACTATTTGGCAAAAAAATCCTTGGTATCCTTACTAATATAACAAATATGAAAATAAATTTGTTTGTTTGTTACCTCTTGGCGCCTTGATAGCTAAGTGATTAATCACGTTTGTACCAATCAATAATAGTATTTGGCATTGGTTTTATCCCGGTTATGCGGGCGAAGTCACGGGCTCAGTTAGTACCTACTTACATATATTTAATTTATTGCTTCCTTCACTTTTAATCAAGTAAACGAATCTTCGTTCTTTTAACACTTTCTTTTAATTTCTATAAGTAAAAAGTGCTGAGAACTTTTTTAAGAATTTCATTCTGTATGCACAAACTATTTTTCGTATATTATTATGGCATTATTCTTTCTCAAAAGTACGTTCTCAATTCGCCTGATTTTTTTATATATACTTTATACAATATCTTCGCGAATTATTGTGGATTTGTTTTAATTCTTTTAGCGTTTGATAAGGTTTCAGTACCTATGTTTTGCTCACGTATTAATTTGGTCACAGTTATAAGTTTATTTTTTTGTAAGGTAAAATAAATAAAGAATATTATTATTTGTCTGCAGCTGCAGTTATTGTACTGCACAATTAGTCACGGATAGTTAGCTGAATTGAACCTTTTGTTACCTCAAATCAACGCGCATTCAATGTCAAGTGTTTTTCAATATCTTTTGACGTGATCTCCTATAGTTATATTCTGCATCCACTAAACAGTTGCATAACGAATTTGTGAGTCGTCGTTAACAGTTAACATTATTTTGCATCTTGTTCTATTTTTAGATATCAATATGAAAGTGTTTGATGAAAGATCGTGTAAGTATAATTAAGTGGTAATATCAGCTTTTTAGCTAATTTCTTAGATAATTTACCACTGGTGTATAAAATTTTTAATTCTGCACTGTTGCTGTTGAGAGACCTTTCTCTTGAACTTCTGTTTTAAACTTAATTCCTGCAATTGTCGCTTACGGTGTTCTGTTTGATGATAAAATGAAGTAGTGACAGATAAATGGCGGTGATAGATGATGATTGTAGATATTCTTACTACATTATACTTTTTAATGTTTTAGATTTTTTTCTATAAGTATTATTGAACATTTATAATATAAATAGGTAGGTATTAGTATTTATTTATAGTATATGTATTTACACAATATTGTAATATATATCAATATTTTAAATAACTGTTTTTTTTTTGCATATTTGTTTATGTATTGATTAGTTATTCGTATTCGGAGTATTAATAGTTATTGCAATTTAGCTGCCCGCTAATGACATGCTTTTCAACTGTATTGAGTTAACTGGAAGAGATCTCTGTCAGAGATAAGTCTACTCTTCCTCACAATATTTATAAATGCATTAACAATATAATTTACTAGTGCAATAAAAAATATATATTATATTAAAATTGTAACTCGTCGGCCTCTAAATTGCTGGTAAAAATATATACTATTACCTTATCATTATGATTATTCCAGCTATTCATTGTTCATTGCTAAATATAGACCTTCCTTACAGTGTACCATATGATCCTAGTCCACTTACTTTTATTAGGTGTCTAATGTTAATAAATTGGATAATGGGATAATAATGGGATCGATCCTGAGACATCAATTCTCCAAATTTACCTCCAAAATTAAAATCTTATTTTTATATTACAACGAAATCTTTAGTCACTTAACGTATTTTTTTTATTAGTATAACAACTATCTAAACTCTCTAATATCTAAACAGTACAACATTTAAAAAAAAAAATATTAAAATCGGTTGAGTAGTCTTGGTGCTTGACGAGCGTGTTCGAATACACGTTATTGGGAGAAAGGGATTGTTATTTATGATTGTTAGTTTTGGAGTCTAGCTGATTGTCAGCAACACACCTTATCAGGTCGACCTCCACGCGGTTTTCTCTGGAAACCATCGTGTTTAATTCTAGTGAAATTTGTCACGATGGGCTAATTGACTTGCTTTCATCGTCACCTATCATCTCTCACTGGTGCACCGATACCGATAGAGCAGGCGGGGCGACAATTCCATTATCACCCATTAAAAAAATTACCCATTATTCGTACATACTCGTATACATAGGATATTTGTATATTAAGATATTGCTCTTATTTTAGATTTGAAACCCAGCACGCCACGGACTGGAGAATGTGTTCCAGGATGTGATTGTCAAGATATTGATCTGCAGAGTAAGCATTCATAGTTAAGATTGGATAAAAATATGACTTATCAATTGTACAATCTGAGTACAAATTAATTAGTAAATATGTAGTACTTGCAATTTGCTTTCTTGTTTAAGAATAATTAATTGGTTTTATACGACTTTCCCATGGCAGTGTAATAAAAAAAAGAAGAGAAGTACAGTGTGTGTAATTTGTAACAGATGTCCTACTCAGGATGCATCATGTGACCGATGAAATGGCTAGGGTTTGTTTATATGTGAATTTGTTTGTTTGTTACCTCTTAGTGTAACTTTGCTTTACCCTTATCCCGGTCAATCAATATACCAAATAATTTACCAGAGGGAGACTTTGTACAAAAGTCGATTGCTTGGGCACCTCTGTCCCATTCGTGTTTCAACCGTGAAGCAGTTGTGTTTGCATGGCTGTGTTTAGGTTTGAAGGGTGGGATATAGCGTAAATTTACAGGGTACAGAGGAATAACACCTGAGTCCTCAGGAATGGCAACGCATGGGGGGTATCATGGGCGAAACAGTATACTCTGTTATGTACATGGTACTGCTCATGTCTATAGGCGACCGTTACCACTTTCCATCAGGTGGGCCGTCAGCTTGTTTGCCATTCTAAGTTGTATAAAAAAAAAGTAGATTACGCATACAAAGTCGTGTGTAAAGGCTAATAGAATGTAAGGGATAAGTTGATGGATAACATTAACAAATTGACTAAATTACAAATCCAATAATAGCTTAAGGGATAATTGAAAATCTCAATTGTTTATTGTCGACTCTACCTACACAAGTAAGGTTTCACTATTTCGTCTGTAATTGTTATACAGACGAAATAGTGATTAATATACCTATAATAACAGATAATAGCTGAGATAATGATGATGATATCTGTAATAAAATCATTTAAATGTATTGATATTATGTTATAAAAATTCTATACCTACATTCTATATTTCATTTATGTATTATCTCGTATCGTTATCGAGATCATAATTTCATTTTATAACATATTATAAATAGATTTATTATGCAACTTAGAATGGCAAACAAGCTGATGGCCGACAGGATGGAAAGTGGTAACCGTCACCTATAGACATGAGCAGTACCAGAGACATAACAGAGTATACTGTTTGGGCCATGCGTTGCCATTGCCATGCCATTCCTGAGGACTCAGATTCTCTATTATGTTAGATATATCTATTGTATAGATTATAAGATGAGTAATATCATAATCTTATTTCAGATACTTGCATGAAGTGACATTTTCCAAAGAAGTGAACCATATCAACCATGACACTACAAATTGTTACAGTATAGTTATTTATTATAAATTATTCTAGTAATATTTAATAAATATTTATTAATTTATTTTTAACTTTCTTTATTCACTCTCAACGTGTTGCCTTTTTCCTCAATCCTTTCCTCTATACCTCAGGTAGCGGATATCACCATCAAATGCATTCTCAAGGAGGATTTGCGTAAGACAGGCGGATTGTCGTAACATTAAATGTCAAAACTTTGGTAATATGATTTGATTCATACTGCAATCCATTTCAATATAATTGAGAATAATTGGCAGGTAAAAGATGATGATTTTTTTTTATTTTTTTTTTTATTATAAGAAATCTCCCAACACACCGCACCGAGGCAGCGTACCCAAGATACTGGCAGTATTATCTCTTTGAAAGATTGATTGATGAAAGATGATGATAAATTAAATACAGATAAACATTAATTATTTATAAGGACTTATTTTTATTATATACTTACAAGTTATTTATTGTCTCTTACTCTCGAAAGATATCACTTTAGAGACAATAATAATAATAAACTCTTTATTGCGCACAGTAGAGATGTATACAAGGAGTATTTATACAGAATGTGCATATACAAAAGGCGGCCTTATCGCTAAAAGCAATCTCTTACAGACAACCTGGCAATCATATTTCTAAAAAAAAATACTAATTCTGTTATATTATATTTTATTTTATATTATAAAAATTTACATTAAAACTATGGATATTAAATATGTTTATATTATATAATATGTTTGAATTATTATTGTGGCAGCATTCCAAAATAAATTATAATATATTTATAATTATTTAGAATACAAATGGTATATTCGAAACACAATAAACATATTCACATGGAAGTAAAAGAAATACATTTAGGAACATAGTTTCAAATATAAATACATAACTATTATGCAATATATTTTATACTGAAATATGTTTACATAACTGTTTGTGAGTTTTGTATAGTTTCATGCTCATCCTACTTCTTGGTAGTGTGCGTGGGACAGGAATCTCCCGATGTGCAAGTGGTCCGCTTGCAAGCGCAGTTGCAACTAGCATCGCACTTGCACGACTGGCAACACTGGCTCGACGTACACTTACAATCTGTAATTAAATTATTACATTTATCTATTATATACCTGGGTGATGCAGTATTATTTAGAAATATGCATACAGGGTTAGTTGAAAAGAGTGTTCAATTTGAAAACTAGAGGGAGACTGTACAGTTTTTTTTTTAATGGATATTAATGGAATGGAATACCTGCATTCTCGGTATCTACTGGCGGGGTACCAGTAAATGTTCATAAATGAAAAAGAAGTCAGATCAAGAAGGAATGTGACGATAGGAGTAAGTCAGTTGGCCCATAGTGACTTTTACCCTCGACTCTGTCTGCGTGACTGAAATATGTTTACTGATAGGATAAAAAGTAGCCTATATCCTTCACTATGTCATTAAGTATACTAAATTTATTAGTGATTAGTTATTAACCGCTGTTAAAGTGCTGAAAGGTAGCAAAACAAACTCACTTTTCCATTTAAAATATTAGTGTTCAAGAATTAGGGTTCAAGAATAATTTTATACAATTCATACTAATTTATAATGTAGCTGTGCAATTTGTATGAAAGATATAAATAAATATAATTTTCATAATGACCATACAGTAATAAGAATAATAATTATTTGTTTGGTACATAAAAAACAATAATAATAGAAAAAAGAACATTACTTTCTTATATGAAAGTTAATTACAATGTTTTTTTTTTTTTTAAATAATTTTACAATAATATTGTTCAGCCAGCTGTGTAGATTTGTATGCATTTGTATGTATTTGGCAATGTATGCGTTATCGTGTATGAATTTTACGATAATACAATACTACTGATTGTTTCGGCATAGCACACTTCAGGCGACCATTTTGTTTTGTGTTCGTTCGCTAATTTAGAAACATGAGTAACAACCTTGCCTGAATAACTACGCCTCAATTCTAAATTGCACACTAATTGGTCCAGTTCACGATTTGCACGCGATTTCATATTCATTTATGACTAGCTGTATCTCTCGGCTTCACCCGCATAAATCAATGCATAAGATATCCTATGTACTAAGTTAGGATACAGCCTACCCATGTATTAAATTTCATTAAAATCCGTTCAGTAGTTTTTCTATAAAAGAATAACAAACATCTATCCATCCATCCGTCATAACATATATTTAAATACCGTATGAAATAAAAAAAAAAATTGTTTGTTGTTAAATAATTGGTATATGTTTTTTGGTAAAATAATTAAAGATGTGTCCTACAAAAAAAAATCTACTTTAATTATGAAAAACCAGTTATTTTCATCTAAAAAATAAATAACTGAACAGATTAAAAAAAAAAATACACGGGACCAATCTGTAACTATGTTCTTTGAAATAATAATCGGTTTAAAACTGACGGAGTTATGAGATAACAAACATAAAAAAAATACAACCAAATTGAGAACTTCCTTTTTTTAAGTCGGTTGAAAAAAGAATAAAATCATCTTAAATTAAAGTTAATTAAAATAACTAAACATTGTATAAACGTATTCTAATAGAACCAACGTAATATAGATGCAATAGTAATAAATGGAATATTGCTAACATACATAACACTTATAGGAAGCCGGCATGAGAGAGATATACATACTTATCTAGCTAGATATTTTATCTATCTTTATGGCCGACACCATAAAGAATAACAGATATTTTCCATGTGTCAGTCTGTCAGCTTGTTTGCCATTCAAAGTTGTATAAAAAAAATGTCTGTATGGTAATTTTTCAGTAGGTTTGACTACCAATATCATTAGATTAGACTTGTTAAATGCGCTTTATTTCTAATACCACGTTTTAGTCACTAATTGTGCTATTAGTAATTTTCTATATATCAATAGTACTTATGTATATTATTTTGATAAATTTGATAATTAAAAGAAACAATAAAATAACACTCACCGTCCTTGCAACCGCCACAAGGCATCTTGTTTATTTTTCAGTCGGTAAATTTAGCAATATACAACTATACTCGTGTAGCTCGAGCGCTGTATTGACTCTACGAATGCACTCCGTAGCTCACACACTTATACCTAGTGTGGAATGTACTTCAGTTTTATTATCGCTTAGTTGTTTATTATGCTTCGTTCGGATATCGTTTGTGTAAAAAATAGTTCTGAGATAACTACCAATATTTTAAATAATATGTAGGTTTTGTTCTATAAAAATATTAGAGTTTTCAATATTTTGCCATAGCAAAATATTTCATCAACATGTGAATAAATCATATTGATTGTACAAAATTTATCAAAATCAAAATATTAAAATTCATTACGGTGAACAAATAAAGATGAAGTTAGGGCCTGCCTCAATAGCGCTGAGGGCAGGGGGGAATTATTTTTATCAGGTCAACTTTCATGCAGTCCTCTCTGAAAATCATCGTGGTTAATTCCTAGTGAATACGACACCAAATGCCAATTGACCTTAGGGGGGGGGGGGGAGGAATGAAGAGATTGTTAGTAATATTGTTAACGATACCCTTTTAACTTTTACTTTGATTACGGTAGCGGTTACACTATTCCATAACATCATCATTATATCAGCCCTTAACGGTCCACTGCTAACCAAAACTCGGGGAGGGTTATGTACAACAGTGGAGCGGTGAGGGGTATTGCCAGTAGTTTTCACACTTGGCAAGCGGATTGGCAACCGCAGTTAGGCTTTAGAAATGTTTTAAGAGGGACGCTGCTGCCCATCTCTCGCCCTCGCTTAATCGCCTCTTACAACACTCACGGGAAAGAAAGATATGGCCTATTCTATGCCGGGCCACACGGCTATTCTATATGCATCTATTAAAATGAAGACTCAATAGCTTTTTATAATTCCTTTAAAAAAAAAATACTTAGATATATTCGAAATGTATAAACATTTCCGAACACGAATTTTATTATTAATAATGATCAATTAAGAGTATCCAGTTATCTATTCATAACTATTGAAAGATAATGTATGGATGTTTTGTATACATTGCTGCTATACCATTGGAAAACAGTTCCTCCACACTATTAAACACGTATTGAACGCTAAACGTGATGGAATAATGCGTTTTCATAATTGTGGAAAATTTTTGTTAAAATACAAGTATCAACGTAGTGCGCACAACTCAAGCGCCGTGTGCATCATTAGATATCCTATTCACTTGAAAGTGTTTGTTCAAGATAATTATTAAAATATTTATTGGTTTCGTCCAAAACATGTTTATATATATAGATTATTTGTGGAGAAATAAAATAAAATAAGTATAATATTATTATTATAACAAAATTAGTCGTATCTTCGTGACCGTGAGGTTTATATTATACAAAAGGTTCAAAATTAGGTTTGGATTTAAAATTTTTGAGAAAATTCGTTAAGTTTCATGGCTCTCCGAGTATCACAGTCTATTGAAATTACCTAATTTCTTGTGTAATTGAAAAAAAATTTCATCACATCAGTCGTTAACTATTCATTGCTGAACATACGCCTCCACCTATTGTGGGGTTTTATGAGCAGTTGCCACGCTTTTTTGCCAGTTTTTTTTATGGATGAAAATTGAATAGTAACCCGCGCTGTCGGTATACACCGGCGGGGCACCAGTGAAGGATGATAGCTAAGGATGAAGCAGGTCAGTTAGCCCATGATGACGAATTCAATAAGAATTGTTCACGATGGTTTCCAGGGGGGACCACTTGGAGGTCGACTTAATAGGGCAAATTGTTAACAATAAGGCTGTCAAACTCCATTGCTAACAATCCCTTTCCCCCCTAATAACCGCAGTTAGGCTTTAGTGTTTTGTGTTTCAAGTGGGACGCTGAAATTCATCGCTTGACCATTAAGTTCCCTTAGTCGCCTCTTAAGATATCCAGAGAAACGAAGAGGTGCCCCATTCCATGCAGAGACCACATGGCAAACTGAAACTTGAAAACAAACAATGTTAATAAACTAAATTCATCTGAGAGGTAGTGCGACTGTAGGTTTATCATCTTCCATGCTGATGTGTCTCATATTATTAAAATAGCCACAATGGGCTCGGTTCAGAGGCGTTATTTCTATAAACTTCTCTTAACCTATTATTGTTTTTTGTTTGTTTCTGTTCAATTTTATTTTAATTAGATAGGTAATGTGAATTTTGGCCTACTATTCTAGATTCAAGATTTATTTATTTGTAAAACTTGCGTATAAATACATGCAAATGTTGACAATATAATATCGTTCGACATGTTTAGCCTGTACGGTATACAAAAATATGTAATTACATTAGTATTACATGTAGTAGATAATTCACATTATACATCAAGGTGTAGGCAATATCTAAAAATAGATATTATAGACCTTATGTGTCGAATTCGGTCACACAGACATACAAGTAAATAATAATGGATTACATTTACATTACAATACAATATATATGTAAGGAAATCACACAACGGTAAACAATTCGACTCATATCTGTAATAACATATAAATATTTACATATCTATATTGTTTAATAGACAGTGGCGGATTTACTTATTTGTACTCAGTAGACTAACTATTTAAATTCTATCATTCCTATCGGCTTCTATAATTCGATACTGTGGTTTATCATTTCAACCATTATTCGTCCACTGCTGGACATAAGTCTCCCCCATATATTGCCATAAAGAACGGTCCTAAGCTACCTGCATCCACTGACTCCCTGCAATGCATTTCAGGTCGCACTCCATTTAGTGGGGGTTGTCCTACACTGCGTTTAACAGTACGCGGTCGCCACTTAAGAACATTTCTTCCCTATCGGTTGTCGGTTCTTCGAGCTCACTGTCACTTGAGCTTGCTTATCCTTTGGGCTATGTCCGTTATTTTGGTTCTTTTGCGAATAGCCTTGTTTCGGATTCTATCACGCAAAGAGACTCCGACCATAGTCCTCTCTAAAGCCTGCTGAGTAACTTGTAGTATTTGCACACGTGCAATCTTGTAGGGCCATGTTTCGGTTCCATAAGTCATCACTGGCAATAGGTACTGGTTAAAGACGTCTTAAAATTTTGAGGTATTTAAGATGAAAAGAAATGCCGTAGTTTCCCAAACGCTGCCCAGCTGAGTTGGATTCGTTGGTTGACCTCTCGGTCGAAGTTGAACTTACCCATTCGGACAACTTGTCCTGGGTATACATACTCATACTCTGCTTACTATTTTACTATTATATTATCATATTAATTACAATTTTTTGTCAATGAAATTGTAACTTTATGATTATAAAAAAATATTGGCTCCAAATTTGCCGTCCTAAAAATCTCCCATTTTAGGCTCCAGCCTGCTGGTAAATCGTTGTTAATGGATATTTACCATATATTTATTAATCTTCTGTTTTGTAGTTATTATATTAGAGGATCAATGTGTACTAGCTTTATCACAATTTCTTTTTTGTCTAAATATAATGGCGAATGTTATGCTTATCTATAGTCGAAACATTTTATAATCCTAACTACTGTATTTGTAGTTCTTTTTTTTTTTTTGATGGGTGAAAATGGTATGGTAACTCCGCCTGCGTTAACAGGATACGCTGGCGGAGCACCAGTGAATGGTGATAGATGAGAATGAAAACAGGCCAGTTAGCCCATCATGATGAATTCATCAGGAATTAACCATGATAGTTTCCAGGGAGAACCGCGAGGAGGACGACCTGGTTGGGTATATTGCTAGCAATAGGATTCTCAGTCTCCATTACTAACAATCCCTTTCCCCCTACTGTATATGTAGTTGAATGTTAATATATATGCTGTAGATTTTCTTTAATTTATTTTATTATTATTTCAGCCGTTATATATATATGCTGTAGATTTTCTTTAATTTATTTTATTATTATTTCAGCCGTTATATATATATGCTGTAGATTTTCTTTAATTTATTTTATTATTATTTCAGCCGTTATATATATATGCCGTAGATTTTCTTTAATTTATTTTATTATTATTTCAGCCGTTATCTGTCCACTGCTGGACATAAACCTTCTCCATAAGAAGAGTTTTACCAGTAGTTGCACGCTTGGCAGGCGGGTTGGCAACCGCAGTTAAGCCTATGAGGACGTTTTAAGAGGGATGCTACTGCCCATCTTTCGCCCTTCCTTAGTCATCTCTTACGACACCCACGGAAAAGGCAGGGGTGGCCCATTTTATGCTGGGGCACACACGGCGATTTGCTATAATAAAGTAGTAAAATAAATAATGTCACGTTATTTAGTATACATATCTAGTATTAGTTTGTTTTAATGGAATGGTAACGCCACCTGCGCTAACGGTATTCGCTGACAGGACACCAGTGAGTGATGATAGCTGAGAATGAGAAGGCAGGTCAGTTAGCCCATCGTGATGAAAACACCTGGAATTTAGCGCAATGGTTTCTAGAGGGAACCATGTGTGTAGGACATAGGGTGTATTGCTAGCAATGGGACTGATAGTCCGCGTCCTTTTCCCCTCAACAATCCCCTCAATTATCAAGTATTAGTTAAATTGTAGTGCAAATTATTTTTTTATAAACTATTATGTATAAACGCCTGTTTAATTCAACATTAACTGTCTGTTAACAGTGAGTAAAAAGAGTTGCAAGTTTATTCACAGGCGTTGGATAAACCATTCTGTTACAATGTTCATGATTTTACATAAATTTCTAGTCCCTATTTTAAGGAAAGTATCGTCGGCAAACAGTAATATAAAATTGTGTTTCATAAAAAATCGATTTCAATTATGGAAAAACCAGTTATTTTAATTTAAAAACTTAACTATTAAAAGGATTTTGATAAAAAATTTATCGATCGATCGATTTGTAAATATATCCTTTTAGATGAAAAAGACTTTTACAAATCAGTTTACAACTGACGGTGTTATGAGGTAACAAACTTTAACAATTAAGAAAAAAATATTAAATTATTATATTTATAATAATGTCAATAAGTTACATAAATGTTTCTATTATCAATTAAAATACATCACATTTCACGTTGTACTTCCACTACTATTAAACTTAATAAGTACATTTTACGAGTAAATAATATCAGCATAAGTAGATGTAAATACTAAATATAGATGAGTATTTATAACTTATGATAGAGAACTTTAAATAGGCAAGAGTTTGTTGTATGACTTTCAATACAACAGTTTCGGTATTAATAACGTAATAATTTTCTTAACTACTATGGATTAATTTAAATTTTCAAATGAAAAGCCATTAGCAGTTACATAGCAGAACTGTATACAAAAGTCTTCTGCTTGAATACCTCTGTCCTGGGGGAAAGGGATTGTTAGTAATGGAGACTAAGAATCCATTGCTAGCAATAAACCTAACCAGGTCGACCTCCTCGCGGTTCCCCCTGGAAACTATCATGGTTAATTCCTGACGAATTCATCATGATGGACTAACTGGCCTGTTTTCGTTCTCATCTATCACCCTTCACTGGTGCTCCGCCAGCGTATCCCGTTAGCGCAGACGGGGTTACCATTCCATTTTCACCGATCAAAAAAAAATACCTCTGTCCTACACGTGTTTCTGCATTTCTGTTATAAAGGAGTTGTATTTGCATGACTATGTTTTGGTTTGAATATACATAATGTGGCAATGAAATTGCTGTCAACCTTAGCCCCCAAAAATGGCAATGCATGAAGATGTCCATAGTACTGTTCATGTCTAAAGGTTACCACTTTCCATCAGGTGGAGCATCTACTTGATTGCCTTTCTAAGTTGCTTAAAAAAAACTCCAGAAAACTTAAGATTTGCGTGAATCACAACATTTAACACATCCGGTATGACAAGCCTTCTGTACAGGAAGTGATAATGAAAAACAACTGAATTTCAGTGAATCACGTACACAATAAACACAGCCCACATTACCTACGTAATCGGTAGAATTATATCGACCGGTCGAATTAGATAGCTTATTTATCAATAGTCAGTACCGTGATAAGACAAGTATGTACTGCAATTCTAGTATTTTCTGTTTTAATAATTTTATGAATAGATGTATTTTCAGTTATAATATGTTGTCATATTTTTCTATATTAATCACTAACTAATAGAGATAACAATATTAATGTTCCTTTTCTCTTACCTATCAACATTTTAAAAAGTGAACATTTAAAAAGAAATTAAATTAAGAACATGTAATACTACAAGAGTTTTGCCAGTAGTTGCACGCTTGGTAGGCGGGTTGGCAACCGCAGTTAAGCCTATGAGAACGTTTTAAGAGGGATGCTACTGCCCATCTTTCGCCCTTCCTTAGTCATCTCTTACGACACCCACGGTGTTAACTTTTTTTAATCTATGAAAATGGCAAACGAGCATATAGCTCGTCTGATGGTAAACGGTCACTGTAGCTTATGGACGCCAGCAACTCGACGGGTGTCACATGCAGTCTGCCGATCCTGAAGAAATCTTAATTCATCCTTTTTGAAGAACAAAAAGAATAATCTTATTATTATTAATCAAAATTTTACTTCCTGCTAATATTATATGTCTGAAAATTTGTAAAGATGTTTGAATGTTTATATGTTTGTTACTCTATCACGATTAAATAGCACACTGCACGGATTTGAATGAAATTTGATACACATTAGATTACATCCTAATTTTACAGATAAAGTGGCGAGAAATAGTACATAAATCCATAAATCATGATAATATTTCATAAAAACAAGTCTTGTTTATCAATATACATTATATGCGTGTTACATACGTCGAAGGTTTTTTTTTTTTTTATACGAGTATTTAATATCTTATTCAAAAGTAATATCCATAGCCTTAAAGAATAAATTTTCTTTAAACCGTAATTTATTTATTCGCAAACATTGTGCGTAACAAATTGTTACAAAATTACTATAAAGTAAATAACCCTTAAAGCGCAGGACTACGTGGATTAGGACAAAGAATTTGGCGCACCTTTATTTTGCTATCTTATCATATCTCAAACCAGATAAGTCCATATCATCTAGCACACAATATAGCACACTTTAGTCTGCTGTTCAATACTGTGGCAGCTGTCGTTGCTGAAAAATATAGATAAGACAATTTAATTAAAAAATAATGTGATAGTGCTAAAAGAATAATGGGGTTTAAGGTCAAATTAGTTTTAACTCTTCTAGTTTTAAGTGCAAGTGTTAATGGACAAGATTTAGAGGAGCAAGCAGAAAGTATAGATGTTAATAATGAATTGGACAATATAGTGCCAACAGAGCCTAGTGCAGAAGATGCAATTACAGAAACAACTGTGTTACCCGACGTACCTCCCGTGGAGGTACTTCCTAATGCTCTGTTGGAAACGAGGAGTGGAATGTATCAAAATTTTGATGGTACATTATTAGGAACGGATTTGGAGCCCGCGGCAGCTAACATTGATCCAAATGGTGATCAGAGCGAGAGGCAACTTCTAGATCCAGGTTCTACAGTTATCACCGACAATGAATATGGTGAGCTTTATTTTTTAATAATACTTTTTTTATGCATATAAGATTCAACGTCAAACTTATTTTTATTAAACGGTTCCTTCTTCTAGTAAAATATTGAATAATAGAAACATTTGAAATAAGAATTATAGCCTAATCTCTAATAATAGCATAATTATTGCAATAAAAAAATATATAATTAATTCCTACTTAAATTTATTTTTTCATTGTTTAACATACGAAAAAATAGATTTAAGTTACGATCTAAATGGATACTAGTAAAACTTTCAAATTTGAGGAGAGACTACTTCATTTCGCATCTATAACAGACTACGTTTACTTTTAAATATCGCACTAGTCACAGGTTAGGCTTTTTTTGTACAAAAAATAATAATAATAACACTAAAAATTATTACGACGACCATACGGTTCGCCTAAAGGTAATCCATACCGAAAGGCACCTGCAACTCCGGCGATATTATTGCGCTTTGTCAAATTTAATACTATCTGAATTTGATTTTATTAATTTATTTTAATATATGTACGATTTTTTTTTAAATTTAGAGTGCTAATAATAAAGCATTACGTCATCACTAATAGATACGAGTGACGGAGTTATCTATTATGGTGGGCATATTTTGCTTTATTTGAAACATTAATGTATTATTAAAAAAGCAATAAAAAAAAAACAATTTAATAACGACAATATTATTATTAAATAATATTGTCGTTATTAAATGTCATCGATGCGAGATCTCAAATCGACTAGTTTATCCAGATGTAATTTTTCATACCATTTCTATCTGTCGATTCAGATTACATCAACTCGCTACTGGGTATAGTTCTCCTTTCTATCACGCCTCTTGTTACGGTTCTGTGCTCACCTCATCCACAGCTTTCCTGTTATTCACTATCATCTTTCAGTACACACCATATAATTTTCATCATATTATCAGCCTTTAATTGTTCACTGCAGAACATAAGCCTCCCCCTTGAAACGCCTTTCTAGTAGTTACCAAGCTTGGCAGGCGGATTGGCAACCGCAGTCAGGCTTCAGAGATGTTTTAAGAGGGACGCTGCTGTCCATCCCTCGCCCTCCCCTAGTCGGCTCTTACGATACCCGTGGGATAGGAAAGGGTGGCCTTTTCTATGCCGGGACCATACGTTTATATGCCCTCCTATTCTCTTAACGTTATTCTGGATTATTTTTATTATATTGTGTCCTAGTTAGTTCAGGCAGCGTCACGGTTCAAGCCCCTGGTTTGAGTCAATATTACCATCAAGTGTTCGTTTAATTACTCAGAGATGATGACATCATGGTATGCGACATGATTCATTATTATCTCTTTAATTTGCACTGTCTTTAGATTATGAAGTTCTTGTTAAGAAATAGTATTTATTGTATTTAAATTATTATAATTCAGATAAATAACTAGGTATTTAATATTTTGATTTATCATTAAATTTTTTATATATTTTTTTATCACTGCTTTTTTATTATCTTTTACCAGAGGGAGACTTTGTACAAAAGTCGTTTGCTTGGGCACCTTTGTTCCATTCGTGTTTCTACGTGAAGCAGTTGTGTTTACAAGGCTATGTTTCGATTTGAAGAACGGGATATGACAGTGAATTTACAGAGTACAGAGGAATAACACACAAGTCCTCAGGAATGACAACGCATGGAAGGTCCCATGAGTGAAACAGTATACTACGTTATTTTCATGGTACTGCTCATGTCTATAGGCGACGGTCATCACTTTCCATCAGGTTGGCTGTCAGCTTGTTTGCCATTTTAAGTTGTATAAAAAATTGCTTATCGGTTCTAAAAAAACATAGATATAGATATACTAATTTCAGCAGTCGAAGCGTCCTATATAGACCCTTGGCTAGTTTTGCCAGTACTTGCCGCTTGCTAGGCGGTTTGGTAACCATAATTAGGCTTTGTTGGTGTTTTAAGAGGGACGCTGCTGCCCATCCCTCAACTATTAAGTTCTCTGAATAGCCTCTTACGATACCCACGGGAAAGGAAGCAGTGGCCCATCCTATGCTGGGACTATACGGCATACTATTTTTTACTTAAAACTAAATATACCACTCTTGGGTACTTTAATGGCAATTTTATAGTGACCATTTACTGGTTATATTTTCATAATGTACAAACAAATTGTTACATTTTTATTATGACATATTTAGTATAGTACAAGTACTTAATCGAGGTTGCTAAAAACCCACAAAAGTGTGATTGTATAGTGTATCTCGATTTAGTAATCAACGATAAGGGCACACGGCCACGCCTAGGCGCTTATAACTATAACCCGACTAATTAAAAACGTATCGTAACAAAAAAGACCAACGTCTATATTAGCTGTTAAATTTAAAAAATAAATCATTATATAAAATAAGTATACATTTCTCCATATGATTAAAAAAAAATGTAAATATTATTTTGGATTTTTTTATGAATAAATAGTTACACCTATAATATATTACATTTGTTTATATTAAATACAAAAGATTTACGTTTAAAACCAAATTTAATAGTAATAAGTTGGACATATATGTTTACGTATATACAAAATTATGATAATATTATAATAATAATTAAAATACCAAACAATGAAACATCGATTTCGTCCTCTACCTATATGATATGGGAATAACAGTAAACACAAATGTGAAAATAAATACCTACCTGACAAGAAAATATCAAATAACCTGAAGAAAAAACAAACGAATAGTAATATAGCTGTAAAATCTTGACAAATAAGTAAGATTTTTTCCTTTTCTAAATATTAACAATACTCAAAGGGGAAATGAACAAAATCAACTCATTCATGAGACATTAAAACAACATTTTATGAGTGAACCCATAGAATAATTTACTCAATTTTAGGACGTATCTTTTACTTAAATACTCTCACATCCATTATAATTTTTAGTCTATACTTTTTCTGTTGTAAACGAGCTTAATCTTCTTGATAAAGTGTATAACTATTATTCATTTAATATTTTTCAGGTAATGTATATTTACTCGTAACTGTAAATAAATAACTAAAAGGGATTGAATGAAAAAGTCCTTATCTGTTTCTAATATTAGCTGTAATGCCCAATAATTTGCCCTATTTCAATTTTATGTAAAAAAAGAGAGGTTCTAAATTAGCTTGTATTTTTTTATGTTTATTACCTTATAACTTTGTTAATCATAAATCGATTTAGAAAATTCTTTTTTATCTCAACGGATATTTTTAGTTTGGTCCTATGGAAATTTTTATCAAAATCGGTTCAGTGGTTTGATTTTGAAATCAAAATAACTGGTTTTGCAACATTTAAAGTTTTTTTTTATGGAACACAATCTTAAAATATATAAATTAATAAACAAAATGAAATGAAATTTTAGTAAAAACATAACTATAGTTTAAATAAGTTGCGATACTAATATTATATTAATATTATCATTATAAATGAGTACAGTATGGTTTTAGAATTGGGCTCCTAAATAGGTTAATATAATAACTTGTGTTAGAATTAATATATATAGCATAGATTGGTGTATTATATGTTAAGATTTGAAGGTTTTGAAATGAAATGAAAAAACGTAAAAACACAACTGTAGTTTCTTAAGTTTACTAATATTATTGTCTTAAAAAGGTACAATAGTTGTGGTATTAGAACTGGGCTCTTAAATAGGTTAATATAATAACCTGTGTTAAAGGGCCACAGCTCCAACCCTCTTTAGTATGTTTATTAATCACCTTCACACCACGTGACTAATAAAATTTTATTCATTTGAAATTTGATACAGATAATCCTGTCAAATCTGCATATTACCATCTACAAAAACCATAATTACTCTGGATTAAGACAGAATATTAGGACTTGATTTTCACATTAATCGAAAACTAACGCACAAGAAATATTAAATACGTCCAATTTACACGTATAACAAAATGTCTAAACATTTATATTTGATAGGGTTATATATTAAACAGTACCATGTACAATTAACAACAGATAAGGGCCCGTTTTTATCATGCCAAATAGATAAACACGCATGTGTCAACCTATTTTAAAACCTGTAGCACGTATCATTTCATTACATACTAGGCTAGCGGTAGAGGTTTTTTTTGGGTCAATGACGATATGAGAGACTTCATATTTGGTCTAGTTGAGTTTGTTACACAGCTAGAAAACAGTTGTAAAATGACATGAAAATTTAAGACCGATAGAGTCGTTTACATAAAATAATATTTTTATCCACAAAAAAAAAAAACATCGACCTCTATTGTGGCAAAAGCGGTTAGAACTAAACCATTGATAAAAAATTAATGTCACTAATCTGAAAGTATAACATTTCAGATAAAAAAAAATTAAATTAACTTTAGATAAAAAGATAAAAAAAAGTTTATATGTGATAGATTTATAAGGTTACCGTAAGGACCGAATTAAGAACTACCTCCTTTTTTGAAGTCGGTTAAAAATGCAAAAATATTCCCGATTGTTAATCCCGAAGTTAGTAATGTTATAATTATATAAAGCTATAGTAATGTTATACTATAGTAATGAATTAAAAGAAAAATTCTACTAAAAAATGGAGGAATGTGTTGCCCACTCTGTGCATCTAGTCCTGAGGGGCCTCCAAATGCCTCCATTTTCCTCATCCATATCCATATTCTATGTATATTTATTCAAATATAATTTAAATTTCACTTGCAAGATTTAACAAAATAAACATAAACACTTATACACATAAATGTGAACGAATTAAAATATTGTAAAATTACATCAACTTCTTAAACTTAAAAGGCCTCATTCAGCTTAACGGCCACGGGACTCTAACGGGATTAGTCCGTCGCTGTTTTTATTATAATGACGCACGAGAGATGCTGAAAGTGACAGATGCATTCTATGGTCTCAATAGCATTACTCATTACTGTAGGCAAAGACTACCTAAATGGCAGTCTAATTAACTCAGATTTCTATCAGATTTTGTCTGTTCATCTCGGATATACAAAAATGATTTGAGAATAGGAAGCAGTTGTGTTTGCATGGCTGTGTTTCGGTTTGAAGGGTGGGATATGGCGTGAATTTACAGGGTACAGAGGAATAATATCTGAGTCCTCAGGAATGGCAACGCATGAGGTGTATCATGGGCGAAACAGTATACTCTGTTATGTCCATGGTACTGCTCATGTGTATAGGCGACGGTTACCACTTTCCATCAGGTGGGCCGTCAGCTTATTTGCCCATTCTAAGTTGTATAAAAAAAATAAGAAGGTTTTTTTACTACAATGCTAGGTTTTAGTTTAGATCGATTGATACTCTTTTGCATTAAATGTTAATGAGTTCACGCACATCAACGGTAGTAGAATTAAAAATGTTTTATGTTGTATCAGTAAGATTTACGATATAAATTTAGTCTATTGAATTGCCAAATCTTCTTCAATAGGGAAGGTCTGATTTAGGATTTTGTAGTACGAGTATTATTGCACAACATAAATACATACATATCTGCACAACATGTAGGTATAATTTTATAATGATAGATAAATAGATAGATACTCTTTATTGTTTCCTCCAAAAGATTACAATAGTAAACTTATTATAAATATAAATAATTACAAGAAATAATCACAATGAGAAAACAATGGGCGACCTTATCGCTAAGAGCGATCTCTTCCAGGCAACCTTTGGATGGAGAGGAGTAATTATAAACAGTTTGGTGGGAGGCACGATGAAAAATTATGTTAGTTCTAAATATGGGAGATGTGATACATATAATAATATAAATATTATCCCTACTCATTATTATATTTATATACATACACCATTTATATACATGCACATTTATATAATGATTATTATTGAATAACGATAAAATTAATATCACTAGCTTTTTTTTTGCTAGCAATGAGGTTATTAGTAAAAATCCTATTACTAAAAACCCCTTTTCCTTCAACGTGCCGTATTAGTATGACAAGCTCAAAATTTTTTGTTGTTTTTCAATCCACTTATTTTAGTTGAAAATATTTAGTTTCGCTGATAGAATACTCCCCTCAAAGGTGACTAACGATTTTAATTTTACCCTATGTACTTTGATAAAATTAAAATACAATATATATACGTGGATACAAAACGACACAATGTATTAATCATAGGAATGCGTAAATGCTCGTTCGTGGAATGATTTATTAATCATAATGTTATCTTAGACAAACAAGAGTTACCTATTTGATATAAAAATGATAATGCGATAACACCAGACGTGATAAAATTGTAACAAGTAATAAAATAAATAGATCTCTTGATTTAACAATAAATTATAAACTATAACATGTAATGTAATTTTCGATAGGTTCTGATTCGGTTATATTTTTTTATTTTCAACCGTCAACTTTAAACCGATTTAGAAAATTCTTTTTTCTTTCTCTAAAAGGATATATTTATACATTGGTCTCATAGAAATATTATCGAAATCGATTAGTTGTTAAGTTTTTAGATTAAAATAACTGGTTTCTTACAATTATGTTTGTTTTTGTGGGGCACAATCTTTAATTATTAACTCAATATTTCCTATTTATATATTATATCAAATAATAGAAATTAAAAACAAATGTAAACATAAATGTAACTGACCCCACAAATACTGTTCTGTCCCTTAGCATGTCCTTTCAGATTTTTTTTTCTTATCGGAATAAAATTTATCCTATCTCTCATGTTGGCGCAAATTTTATACGAGAATAAATTTGAATGCAATGCGTCAGTCATCAAAATAAATTCTAAATTATATAGAACATAGCTACACAAAAAACAGGCGAAATGAGAAAATTAGTCGTTGAAAGATGAAATTGTTTTAAGATTTATATGTTTATAGGATTACCAACATAAGATACAGCTAAACATTTTAATACAATACATTGGTAGATTAGATCTAACTGTTCTTACATTTATAGGCAACCACAGCATACCTTGTGTTTGATAAACATTAAAATAGAATTAAGTTATTAAATGTCATTAAATGAATAAAGATATTGACAATATGAATAATAATATAATATAAATAATGGAAATTATAATTAAATTATTTTAAATTATAAATAAATAATGTAATGGTGAGGTACATCAACATTTTAATTTAGCCATGAACACAGAGTGACTATCGTTGTGAATATCAAGCATATATCGATATGCATATTAAAACCAGTTGTTATTTTAGGAATATTAGAATAAAGAGAATTTCCTGTGTATCACTCGATATCATATTCTATAGGAATCGGTGAGCTGTCCGATACAATTTGATAAGCGATATCAGTTATCACACTTATCAGTGGATAACGCCGATATTGTACACAGTTTTAGCCTTCTTTTAGGTGTATCCGTTATTATTATACTTCTAAATAATCGATTTAAAGTAATCGTACCTGTAAATAAGCAAGTACATTATTAACTATTGTCTTCAACAAATACTTTTATTGTTACTACCATAGATTTAGAACCTGAGTCCTCAGGAATGGTAAAGCATTGGGGGTATCATGGGCAAAACAGTATACTCTGTTATGTCCACGGTGTTGGTCATGTCTATAGGCAACGGTTACCACTTTCCATCAGGTGGACCGTCAGCTTAATTGCCATTCTAAGTTGCGTAAAAAAACTTGACAACTGACGTAAAATCTACAGTCTTCTTTTTGAAATAAAATCGGTCAGGTTCGAGTTGAACCCACACACCGAGGTTTCTATGCATTGAGAGATGAAAAATAAAATTACCATCACTTCTTTTCTTATATGAAATAGATACATAATCATCATTATCATCATCTCAGCCATTGTCCACTGCTGGACATAGGCCTCTCTTAAAGACACCCACAAGGAACGGTCCTGAGCCACCTGCATCATACAAAATAGTTGTTATAATTAACATTTTAATTTATAATTTCTTATTTTGGGCCAAAATTTTGGTAGAAACTGAACCGCATAACATATTTTTGTTTTTAGATGTTTTCTATAATTACTCTAAAATACTATTTAGAAATATGTTTTTTTTTTCTATAATATTCACATACACGTTTATAAATTGTAAGTATTTTAGTGTTTTCGCTTCAAAGATAAAGGGTGATGGTATTGTGTCACATTTTTTATCATAAGTACAATATATAATAATATATACAATTTATATTATATTAAAACATCTTTAAATGAAAAAAAAATGCCACAAGAAATAAAAATTTTATGTAATTTGAAATGGCCAATGACGCTAATAATAAATATAAATAATCATATAATATAGCTGATGGCCACAGGACGGAATGTGGTAATTGTCATCTTTGATGATAACAGCACAATGTATATAACAAAATACATTCATTCATTGAAAATGTACGGTACCACTCAAATATTGCTTTCCCATAAATATTATCAGGATCAAAACAATAATAATAATAATAAAATATTTGCTGAAATATAGATTTTACAGATGGCACATGTTAGGTTATTACGTCTCCTTATACCATATATACCATACATGGCGTGCAGATCTACTTTTTATATAAAAATAATTCTGAGTATAATTCTTATTGTTAAAAGTTTCATAAGCACACATTATATTTTAATTTAAAAATTACCGGTTTAACTTACGTGTAATTAGATCGATAAAGTCCTACTAGTTTCGGAATCAATACGTGATCCTTAGTCATGAGTGACTGTGATGTCAAGCTCTTGCTTGTCGCTTTTTCGATCTAATTACACGTAAGTTAAACCGGTAGTTATTTTTTTATACTGCTTAGAATAACAGACAAGCTATCGTCTATAGATATGAGCAGTACCATGGACATAACTTAGTATACTCTACCCATGATACCACCATACGTTGCCATTAAGGTGTTATTCCTTTGTATCTTATAAATTCACTGCCATATCTCACCCTTCAAACCAAAACACAGCCATGCAAACAAGATTGCTTTACGGTTGAAACACGAATGGGACAGAGGTCCCAAGCAAACGACTTTTGTATAAAGTCTCCCTCTGGTACAAAAATTAAAACTAATATAATTCTATTATTAATACAGCCGTAACATCACAATGTCTATAATACATTACACAAAAAAAAAGGAAACAATTATTATATAAAAAATTGTCTCGACTCTTGTCTCATAGGAATACAACAACAAATACATTTTTTGTTCTTTCAGCTCATATTGATGGAAGGGTTCTGCCCTCGACGACATACCAGAATAATGGACAGCCATACGTGATCACAACCGCCAGATTGAACCAGATCCGGTCGAACTTCATGTACTGGTTCTACGACCAGGGCGGCACCGACAACATTGGTGACTACCAGCGCGACATCCATACTTCCACTCCGCAGATCCATAAAAATTTCAACTTTCAAGTACCGTTCTTTGGGTTCAGATTTAATTATACAAGGGTAAGTAGACTGACACACTTTCACCTTTATATTAGTAAGAAGAACGATGTTATAACATAAAATATAATTTCAGGTATCAATGAATGGTTATATCTACTTCAGTGATCCCCCAGATCATTACACTTACCCACTGTCTTTCCCTATAAAAGACTGGCCCCATGTGAACGATCCTTCCTTCATTGGCATCTTCTTTAGCAAGTGTCGCATTGGTAACCAACGGCCTGAGGACCCCGACCAACGAAGACCTGGTGTTTACTTCAGGATGGACAGAGATTTACAGGTAATTAATATTTTGTTTTCTTATTTGTTAATAAATACTCGTATATTGAGATTCGTATATAGAGAGCACGTAAAGCCTAAAAAAACAAAATGTCTCTAATAATTATGGTACATATTTTAGTTAAAAAATGGACAACAAATCAAGGATCAATAAAATAATTATCATTATTATCCTAACAATAAATCTGTGTTAATAAAAATAATAGGTTGATTTATCATAAATTAGACATATAGTTAGGGATGAATGACCAGTAGTGAGCACTATTCATTTTCGATAGAAATCATGAATAAAATAATATGAATGAATAAAATCTACGTATAATTTTTAATGGTTTATGAAGAAGGAAATTCTTAATTAGACTCTAATCGTGTGCGTTAAATAATACATATCACTGGATATTTATTTATTTATTCTTTATTGACCACAAAACAAAAAAAGGTTTGGTAAAAAAAACCGGATGCTCCCCTAATCAACCTTTGGAAAAACAGAAATGTAATTATTTAGTAAAAAATATTGAAAGGTATGGTGCACCAATTTCTATCATGGTTTTTATAAAAAATGTAGTGTTAATTCTCTTATTAGACCCACATAATTTTTTGTAATGATTAGTTTACTATGATATAAAACCGTAAGTTACAATCTTTTGTTTCAGACCCGCACCGATCAATTAGGCGTAGAGATGCGCGAACGCCTCACATGGGATATCAGGCAAGGTGTTATTGGTGCTGAGGCATTTTTCCCCAAACACGCCATTACAATAACGTGGAAGAACATGTCCTTTGCTGGTGGAATTGACAACTCATTATATTTGGTACGTTTTCAGGTGTAAATAAACATTAGAATTAAATCAATTAATAACACTTTAAGAATGACTTAACTTACGAAGGGTTGAATCGGTATCACATTGCATTTTGTGAATATTATGTTAAAAATACCAATTAGTAAAAAAAAACACTGAATCTATTTATCAATACCTAAAAAAATATCAAATATCTATGCTCACAACTGTAATCCCAGATAAGATAATCAGGGGTATTTTGTCGACTGTTACCATTGTAATGTCTACACCTTGTCGGTTGTTTATTAGTTTCTAATTTGAATCACAAACATATAACTACTAATAATTTCTTTTTTTTTTAAATCCCTTCCTGAAAACACATGTCGCAGCACGAATCTAAAAACTGCTTTTAAGGGATGTAAAGAGTTTTCTTGGTGGTGTGTCTAATGGTGGCATATAATAAAAAGTTCTAAAATATTGAAGCATAGGATAACTTCCTACTAGTAAGAGAACTTAACAGGAATAAAAAAAACACACTTCGAATGCACATTACAAGCAAACCTTCACATTTTCAATCAATCTTTAGATGAAATTTAACACCTCTAATATAACCGTTAAATAGATCTAAAATTTTCAAATTTAACAAATTACTGCTAAATATGCTCTCAGTCAAGGTTACATTACATTATGCAATGATTTAAAATATGATACTTTTCCTTTTCAACAGACAAATACGTTCCAAATGGTGTTAGCAACAGATGAAGTTTTTACGTACGCTATTTTCAACTACTTGGAGATTAATTGGAGCTCTCACACCGAGGCTGGTGGTGATACCACTACAGGAGAGGGTGGTGTACCTGCTTATGTGAGTTTTTATTTATTTATTTACAATAGAAATTCAAGAACATACGTAAAAATAACTACAAGATGAATGAAATCATTTATGTTTTTACAAATAGAGATAATATACAGTATTTGACAGTGCTTACCTCAGAAAAATCATCCAAAAATTATAGGACTATTAATCCGAGTTTAGTTTTATTATAATAAAACTACATGACTTTACGAAACTTATTTTTTTTAATTTGGTTAAAATCTGAGTTCGCCAGATGTTTGTTGTTTTGACTTTCATATATATACACAACATTATATAGTAGTTTAAACTTTTTACAATTTATGTTCTAATTGTCTGGTTCTTTATAATATTTATTTATTTTAATAAGATTAAATCGACAATATAATCATGTAAGAATACCACATTGTTCTAATAATATTTCATTTGAACGTTATTTGGATGTTTTCAGATTGGTTTCAACGCTGGTAACGGTACCCAAAATTATGAGTACCAACCGTATTCTCAGGCCTCTGTGCTTAGAGATCTAACTGGTAGAGGATGGGCTAATGGATTCCCTGGCCGACACATATTCAGAATCGACGAGAAAATATTAATGGGTACCTGCAACAAAGATATCGGTAAGATCTAAGTGTAACAGTATATCTTACTTTACTAAAACAATAAAATGTGTAAATAGAAGATTATTGAGAACTTAATAAGGGCAATAGAAGCCAAAACAATATTTTTTTTTATTTCTTTATTCCGGCAACATGCATAAACTACTGCACCAAATTAAATGCAATTTTCATAGTCGTATTCCTTCAGGAACCTTATAACCTTCAGGTTTAATTTAAAAATTTATGTATGTTTTACCTTAATACACTTGATATGAGTGTGAACTATTTCGTTGATTATCCTAATTTTGAAAAACACGCGTACTATGTTGTGAGCAAAAAATTAGTTTATGATAAAATTATAAAATAAAGCAAAATATAAATTTCTAATTTATTGACATAAGCAAATTAAGACCTTTTGATCCGAAAACTTATGACTTTTAGTCTGTACTTTGAAATGCATTGGTAACAAAATATAATTTGTCTAATGTTGCAAATCTAAAGGAAGATCAACAAGGTTAATTAATAGTTAAAACAATCTCTGCTTATTATTCTCTTCTCTTTTTTCAGACGGTGCCAATCTTCCTCTAATGTTTGCTCCCGAAAGTGGTAACATGTTGGGTGGTACCATAGTCAACATCACTGGTCCTTGCTTTAATCCAACTGATAGGATCACCTGCCGTTTCGATACTGAATCTGTTACGGGTGCTGTTGTTGATACTAATCGAGCTATTTGTGTCCAGCCACGATTCTATCATAACGGATATGCTAGGTTTGAAGTCGCCATCAACAACGAACCTTACAAATGGAAAGGAAAATTCTTTGTTGGTATGTTTTATACATTAACAATATCTTTCGAAAAGACAAATTATACACTTGATTTAAATCACTAATAAATTTTTAATATCGCTACAGAAACACCTGCAACTGCTACAGAAAAGATCTTCTTCCCCGACGACGCTGTTCATCAAGCTAATCCGCCTGAGATCAGAATAACATGGGACCGCTTCAACTTAACTACGAACCTTAATGTCCAACTACAAATCAGTTTATGGGGATACAAAGAAGTAACCATCAGACCGCAATTAGAGTATATCGACATGATTGAAGTGGGCGTAGCGAATACTGGAGAATATATTATTAACCCACAAAACTACCGTAATAGGGAGAACACTATGCACAATGATATGCAATTTGGTTTCCTTCAAATAAATTTAACGACGCCCGAAGAGTATAAAGGCATTAAAATATCTCCGTGAGTATAAATCAATAATAGTATAATCAGTAATCCTTCTCTTTTGTCTTAGTTCTATGTGATTTAATTTGTTTTTTACAGTATATTATGGAGTCGTCCAATTCCACTCGGATGGTATTTCGCCCCACAATGGGAAAGATTACATGGCAGACGTTGGGCACAGGCTTTATGCAATAACTGGCTTCGAACCGATCGTTTCCTGAAAAACTTCGCATCACAAATTCCAGTTTGTCCATGCACACTTGAACACGCCCTGCTGGACAAGGGTCGCTTCATGCCTGATCTCTCCTGCGATAGAGATATCAATCCAACTTGCCGGTACCACTGGGGTGGTATACATTGCGTGCGAAGTGGAGGACCGGGGTAAAATGATTTAATATTTAATATAAAATTTACATAATTTGTGTAGTTAAAAATTACTGTTTAATTTTTCATTTCAGTAATTTCCTTAGATGCCCTTTATATTTTTTGTGAAATAATATTTAAATATAGGACATAATGTGCATATTTTTTTTACTTTCAGCATATCAACATGCTGCAAGAATTTCTTTTTTTAAAAAAAGGTCCCCTTTTGGGAACATTTTATTTTGCCGATTTATCGCAAAAAAGCAAATGTAACAAAGTCAATGAGTTTAAGCTAATTAGATTGATGTCATTGAGTAATTTGCGACTGATATAATAATATGGTGATCGGAACTTAAAAATAATCACAGCTTCTGATGTTTAGGATGTCATTCTCTAGTCCTCTTACTCCAACTGAAGGTTGTGTTTTTCCAGGCAATCTTTTTTAACTTTTAATTATTTTTATTCACAGTGCTGAAGGCTCCGGCCAGCAATGTTGTTATGATAAGAATGGATTCCTTATGTTGTCATACGATCAAATGTGGGGTTCACGACCTCATAGATCTCATGACTTTGGGTTCACTCCTTACAACGAAGCTAACAAGGTAACAAACGTTGACTAACTTTATATTGCTGTTTTATTTTGTTTGTAATTAATAAAAATAACGATTTATATGATTTTGTCAGGTACCTTCGTTGTCACATTGGTTCCATGACATGATACCTTTCTACCAATGTTGTTCGTGGCAAGAAGAACAAGCTGTTGGATGTGAAACCTTCAGGTAAGTAAAAGAAGTATTCTTTAATGAATGTTAAATAGGTCTTTTGACTACAAAAATTAATTAAATAATTTGTTAATTTTGAATAGTATAACGAAGCAGCATTTCATCGTTCCTCTATTAGAACTATTCTAAAAAAGGGGATTCCTCTACATATTTGAACAAATTAAGCGCTTCAAAAAAAAAAAAAGAAAACAAAGATGCACTTTGTTTTCTTTTTTCGAACAATCAAGTGGAATTTTATCTAGGCAGTATGATGTAGTTATGATGTATTTTATGTTGGTTTCTTAGCCACATCTTATAATATTATGGGGATATTTATTCAGACAAATTCACTCGTATCGTAATATTCTTAAACAGATTTGAGCGGCGTCCATCGCAAGACTGTGTTGCTTATCAGTCCCCTGGAGTCGCTGGTATTTTTGGAGACCCTCATATCGTTACATTCGACGACCTTCAGTATACTTTCAACGGCAAAGGTAATTAAACTTAGTACAAAAATTATCGTAATGATAATATTTCTTATCGAATGATAATCCTTAAATCATGTCCATATATTTAACTTTCACATTTTTGCTTCTTCTAGTACAAAAGTAATTAACAATTTACAATATTATGTTATTCAATCTTTTACATTACATTACCATGTAGGTTTGATGTTGTATTGTTTTTCCCTTTTATTAGGCTAGAACAAAATTTAATCATCGCAGTGTTAACTCTCTTTCGGATAATATAATATGACTTGTATGACAGATGATATTATATTTCACAGAAGTCGTTAGTTCTTCCCCTATCATTATAATATCCACATAATAGATTCCTTAAAACATTATCTTCGCTTCTGCGCATTCCATGCCCTTACCAGAACAAATAATTAGGTAGTTTTTTAACATTTCTCTAATGAGCACAACTTTCAAATCCCCTCTATAATTTATTAATTCTTAACTTTATTCATATTTATTACATTCTCAGTTTTTCTATTTCAGCTGTATGCTGCCGTCTTTTATTTAAATGTTGCTCTTGACCAGATTTGACCAAGATAAAATGTAAATCTAATCATACTATCGTTTGAACAGGTGAATATGTCCTGACTAGAGTCGACCATCCTCAGCTGAAGCTAGATGTGCAAGGACGATTCGAACAAGTGCCTAGGAATGTCTACGGTCCTGTGAACGCTACCTATCTGACTTCTGTCGTTGCGGCTTCCAACAACTCAGTACCAATTGAGGTAAATACCTGCTATAAACTAATTTTTTATATGTAAAGTAATAAAAAACTAAGCAATAACATACATATAATAACAAAAAAAAAAAATCCATTTCAATAACAGAGTTTCAAACATTTCTATTTACTTTATTCCTTTTTAAAAGGCCTGCAACGCCCAGGAGATTTCTCTGGTGTTGTTAAAGTTTGGGCGGCAGTGATCATTTACCATCTAGTGTGCTGCATACTCGTTTGCCACTCTTTAAATAAAAATACCAGTTCAGTGTGCGACAAACATGATAGTAAACTTAATGAAATTTATATGTAGCTAACATAAAAGTAATGAGTACTTCTTTCTCTTGGGTGTCATAATCATCGTCACCTTCCTGCTCTTACCTCAATTATTTGGATTCAATACAAGATGTTTTTATTTATATTGAACAAGGTTTTAGCTTTTGTTATTAAGACCAGCCTTCTTGGAAGAAATTAAAAATAATAAATTTACTTCGACAGTGATGAATAAATTGTGGTTTATTCTTACCTTTTATTATTATACACAGGTTCGCTTACGTCCTCAACATGCTCAATGGAGATACAGACTTGACGTCTTCGCTGACAACAAGCGCGTATACTTTGACAGATCAGCTCTTAGAGTGCAATACTTCCCAGGTAATTTATTAGTTGTAATACTCATATATGACAAATGGCCATAAATCCAATTCTTTGTAGGCTATAGTTACTGGAGAGGGACCATGTATAAATTTATTGCTTGGGTGCCATTGTCTCATTCGTGCAACTGTATTTGCATGGCTATGTTTCTATGGCATGGGTTAGATATTACAAGATGTTCAAATATAACATTTTAGTCCTTGAGAATGGCAACGAATGTTCACGTCTATAGGTGACGGTTACTTTCCATTATGTATGTCGTCTGCTTATTTGCCATCCAGAATGTATCGAAACAACAATAAATAAAAAAACATCAGGAAAATATTATCGATTGTTGCGAATAGTCTACATGACAAAAAAAAAAGAAAAATTAATGGAAAATTCTACTAATTTTTTTAAAGTCTAAAGACTTTTAAAAAAAAATTAGTAGTAAAGTACTTACACTAAAACTAATTTTAAGAAATTAAATTAATATAAAATCGCCGTGCATTATGTACTTTTACGTTATGAATAGAGGTATTAATTTCTTAATAATTTATACTCGCTGTTCTTTTTAATAGGTGTAACCGTGTACCAGCCTATGTACATCTTAAATCAATCGGAAATCGTAATTATGTTCTCGTCGGGAGCTGGAGTTGAAGTAGTTGAAAACAAAGGTTATATGTCCGCCAGGGTCTACCTACCTTGGACATACATGGTAAGTTCATAGATGACTTAAAATACCTAACAATGGGCTTTAAATGAATATATATATATTCCGTATAGCCGATTCCAAAGTTTAACTTCAATAATATCAACCAGAGAGATACTGCAAGTCGTGTGTTTCTTAAGAAGCAGCTGTGATTAAATGGATGTGTTTCGGCTTGAAATTACAAAGCATGGAGACTTTACAAGATCGGCAAAGTGCCGTTCTTGAAGTTTTCAAGATCATCATGAAGAATACCATGGTGCTGTTTATGTCTACAGGCGAGGGTTATCATTTTCTTTAACTTGCATGGAAATAAAGAAACTAATCTAAGTGAAAAATTACCTACTCTATGTTATAGAATCAAACGCGAGGTTTATTCGGCAATTGGTCTCTGGACATCAACGATGACTTCACTAGGCCAGATGGAACAAGAGTCGCCGTCGATTTGAACAATTTCCAATCTGCACACAGAGAGTTTGCGCAATACTGTTAGTATGAAAACAAAATTTATATCATTCTATTGTTTAATTAAAATTAATAATTTTTTCGCCATCCAAATAAAGCAAACAATTTTTTTTCTAAGTAACCGACATAATTTAACGAACTCTCTTTTATAAAGACTTCAAAAAATTAAAGGTCTCAATTTGAATATACATATATTTTTGTGTATGTTATAGAAAATCTTCGTTAATTCAGAATAGATTTTGATGATTCTTTTTGCAATCTTCCGTATAGTTTACTTAATAATTTTGTTAATATTCTTATTTAAATTTAAATTAACAATTTAGTTTTTTGTCGGTAGATATATTATGGTAACTCATAAATAAATATTTCATATTCCAGGGCAACTGTCAGACCGAGAGCAAAAGGACATAGGCGTGGCGTTATTCACGAGGGAGTACGGTCGAACAGCTGCCTATTACAACGATAACCAGTTCATACCCAACTTTATAAGGGAACCCGCCGATTTCCTACCAGCGAACAGATCCCACGACGTCAACAGGGCTATAGAACTCTGCCAGGACTCGTATCAATGCCGGTACGACTATGGCATGACACTCAACAGGGACATGGCACAGTTCACGAAGAACTACCTATCATCCATTGTAAGTTGTGACTCATATTCTTTGTTTGGAATTATCTCCCATGGTTTTTCACAGAAGTCTATTATTAATGATGTCTATATCTATACATTGTTACAACGTATGTCAGTTTGTTTTTATTATTTATTTAGTTGATAATATAAATAATTATGATTTATCTTTTTGAAATAAATTAGAAAAATGTAATCATAGGATTTTAAAATTTTGACAAGAGTGAAAATAGTTGAAACCTTGTTTACATCATTATAAATCTGTGCTCTTTTACAAAATTTGTAAGAAATTGTAAACGTTTTTAGATCTTTAGAAATGAGTATAATTTTTGAGTAAATGCGCTCTGTTTTCTGTGCTATGTTTATGTCTGATTTTTTATGTATGTAAGTTTTTTATAATCTATATGCACTATAAATTTACGACTATTAGTAACAGTTCAGAGTCGTTTTGTTTTTTTTTTTAATCCACTTGGATTAAAAAAAAAAAACAAAAAATTTAAATCTTAATTAAATACATGGAAAACATCGCGTGATCAACTTGGATGCGTCTTGTCGCCTGTGTTCATTGTTCTTTAGTAAATGCATCATTCAAGGTCTTCGTATAGGACCATGCCATGGCGTATATTCAGTTTGTCTATGATTGCGGCTGTTAATTGTATCCAGCCAGTTACATTATATTTCTTATTTATATTTGTTTTTGACACAGTGATTATTTGTTAGTGCCTAAGTATTTAAAATTTAAATTGTATAGTATTTACATACTACTAATAAAAATTTTAATCGACATTATAGAAGAAGAGATTCTCAATTCGTCTATATTTTTATGTGAATTTTAAATCACTTTTTATAATATTGTTATTTTTTAAATCGAAAGTTTTCCTCCGTATCATCGCATATAAGTTTGATAAAGTATGAAAGTATTTTATGTAAATTGAATTACTTAAAGTTTTTAAAATTAATTATTAAATTTATATCCATAGACAAATATAAAGGAGACGAACGCCCGTCGTGTGATCAGCTGCGGTATCCTAGAGACGCCGAGATTTGGTCGAAAGAGTAATTTCTTCTTCACTCCTGGAAATACAGTGAGTTCTTTTATATTTTAATTAACGCGCTCACCCAAAGGAAACTTGATATAAAAATCGTCTACTTAGTTATCTTTGCCGTATTCGTGTAATTTGCATGGAATTGTAAAATTACTTGCATGGAGCTAATATCCTACTAATATCGTAAGTGTTAGCACATAGGATACTTTAGGAGTAATTTAATAGGATTCAGCACCGAGTAACATTTAATAATTCATTAAGATTGAATGAACTCATGTCATATTTGTGCCATAAATATCAATAGTCACAATTTTCCTTTTATGTGTCATCTGTTTCTATTATAATTTATAATTTAATTCGCTTTATTAGGTGAACTTCGAGTGTAATCAAGACTTTATTTTGATTGGCGATAAACGACGCATTTGCGAAGATAACGGCCGGTGGAATCTGCCCGATTATGGATACACAGAGTGTCTACGTAAGTATTTGTTATTATTTATAACTTGGACAATTAGTTTAAGTATTTATTCTGTAGCGTACTGTAAACAATCATACACAATTCTCTACTAGAAATAATAAAAGGCGGTGTACTGAATTATTTGCCAACTAGAATTATATAAAATAATACAAATATGACATTAATGCGTGCATTCGTTACTAATAGTTATGATTATGTAGTTTAAATAACATTATTATTATATATGTATTATCGCATGAGCATGGTAACAAGTATTCGTCAACAATTCGCGTCTAAGTCAATAGAAATTTGTACTTATATATAGTTTATAATCTCGGGCATTCTATATTATTTAAGGTTACATAAAATAAAAAAAAATCAAACTTGACTTTAAAATTTTAAATCTAGTTCTACTCGTATTAATATCCATCAATAATTTTTATGACACTTATAAGTAATTAAAATATGACATATATAGTTAAAATGCTCAAAATTGTAATCCTGGTTAAAGTAGTCATTGACTCTGTGGCAGATGTGGGTCATTCAATATGAATGGCTCAATTAGATGCACAGTATTTTTTATTTTTATATTCATTATTTTCATTCTATCTTATACGAAAAGCTGAGCAAATCTTTTTTTATCCAGGTCAACAAGAATACTCACAGCGCACGCTGTTTATGACTTGGGGCGTCATACTGGCAGTTATTCTACCATTAGGGCTCTTGATCTGCCTCCTTTGGTTCTGGTGCTTTTACACGCCGAGATCTAAAGGGAAAAAGGCTTTCAGTATCAACGAATATACGCGATCCAAATCATCTTCGAGACTTAATCTAAGATCTACATCAATGGGAAATGTAACAGATCCTATGAATACTTCAACATTACGTACCGATTCTGATATTAAACCGAAATTGCCCGTTACTCCCACTGAAGAACAGCCAATAAATAAATCGTTTATTACTAGGTCTGCTCCAGCGCCACCTCAGGACGCTGTAGCAGACGGTGACAGTTCCGGATTAGGTTATACAGACTCTAATAAAAGTGACTCCGGTAAATCATCGCTGTCCAAAAAACGTAGGGCATACGATAAAACTTACCGAACCAACGAACCCTTACCAAACGCCCCGAATAGTGAATTCCCTGAGAAAAACTGGGATTTATCTGAGGAAGATCTACTTTCATTAACCACTTCCCCTTCGGACACGGAATCTAACCGTGAATCTACTTTGACTCGTCCAGCGAAAGATATTGAATACGTCAGCAAACCCCGTCAAACTGGTCGGCACGCTCTTGCCAGTGACTCTGGTTACTCAACCAAAGGGTCGGAGAATCCTTATAAATATGAAGGACAATATAGTCCAGTGCCGTCTCAGTACTCGCCAACTTATTCCGATATTTATTCGCCCCCGCTGAGTCCTACATCTGATTTAAGTCCGGGTAATACATACAATAACCCAGGGTTACCTGAACCACCGAAAAGTGCTCCTATTGATACAATAAAAACTTTCACTCTCCCACCTCAACGGGGTAAATCAGTAGAGACCCTTATTGACCCACCGACGACAACTGAAGCACCAACGTTCAGTAGTCGATCCACTATGGTTTAAACTTTTGGATAAAATATTGTAATAGCAGTTTGATAGTTAGAATTAACTGTAGTTTAAATTTGAAAATCGGATAATATCCAAGAACAATAGAGTATACCATATACGAGTACTTACTTTTGTAGATAATCTTAAGCTTAGGTTTCAATTTTATCGGATATTCGACGATTCAGATACATGGTCGATGACGATCAATGATGAAGTCTTTGGACTTGATTGTCAAGTCAATGTAGCTACGTCATGAATCTCCGCTCTCAACTAATCGTTAGTGACTCGAGAAGAATTTGTGACACGGTATTTATTCACTGCCCTTAATGACAATGTGTGGGAGTACGGGCCTTCACAACGATAGCATCTAATGGTATTAGAAATGTAATAGAATTTATTATTTTTTTAGATGATTATTATAATAAGCACAATTTTTAGTCTTTTGCACATAATATTTTGTTTTAATCATAGTATGTTTTATATTTTCTGTTGTTGTTTATAGTTCTCTGTATATTTTATTATAATTTTATCAATGTTTTATTATATGTGAAAGTATAATAAATATATTTAATGAAATTACGATAATATCACTGGGAGAGGAAATTTCTGTTCCGATGGTAGAATAACGCCTCTATGATCGTTTCCCTTGTATTATAATTTTTTTTATATAAGAAAGCAAGGAATACAATTTGTTTTTGCCCACAAGATGGTGGAATAGAAATTTTCTCTATCATGTGATGTTTTATTTTTTATCCCAATATACGTTATAGTTATTGCTTGCTTTCTTATCTTGTGCACACAATAACATTTAGGTCAGTTATACAGGTGAGTGACTATTTTATATTTACATTGTGATTACTCATGATAAAATATCAGGGTCGTAGATGTGATGTTGCGTAGGTTAAGTACCTTACTTATTTGTATGTAAACAAAAACTGAAGAAATAGCGTGTTGGACACATCTTAATTGACTGGAACTGGATACTCCAGAACTCCATATTTCTGTTTAAGATTCCAAATTCATGTCACTATATAAATTCTAAAATAATATGTTTAAAGTATTATAAGTAACTAGTATTTATTAACAGATATGACGAGTATCTTTCTTGTGAATTTAAATTAGAGTTTTGGAAGGGTGTCAAATTTTATGTTTTCATTCCAACTATGTAATTTTGTATAATTTAAACTTTATAGGCAAGCAGGAGTATTCATCGCGTACCCTTGGCGCGACATGGGGCATCATCAGCGCTGTTATGTTACCTATTGTCGTGGTACTCATCTGCCTTGGTTGGAGATTACTCAAACGGTGGAAGAAAAACGATGATTCCGAAGAAGAATATGTCATCAAGTAAGTTTAAGAAACTGATCATTATAGGTAGCAGACACTCCATTGTGAAGATCGTAATCATTATTATATATATATAAATTTATAAGTAGCTAACAATCTGAGAAATAAGCTGATGGCCAATGATGCTGATGGCCAATGATACTGATGGAAAATAGTAATTGTCGTTTATAGATATGAATAGCATCAGGAATATCACAGAATACACCTAAATGTTCATGATACTAAATGGTACAAAATGCAGCCGACATTTTATATAAGGTCTTCCATCCTTCCTATGGGGTATGTTAGGGAATTTACACATAAAATTCGGAAGTCAATCTAGTCATAAAAATATAGACGCCAATAGCACCAGATGGGTCATACCTACGCTATCAACCTTGACGCCATAGTGTTGTGTTTTAGGAAAAAATCAGTATGAGGCTCATGCCACAATCTGAGTATTTTTATGGCCATAATATTAAAGTTTCAAAGATTACGATACAATATTAACAAATAAGTATCTTTCACTTATTCAAGGTTATCATTTAAGTACTACCTATCTGTAATGTTATTATATATACTTAATTAAGTAGGTATTAATTGTTTATTGCGATAGACTAAGAATTGTTTTGTATCACGCTTTCCAAGAATACATATTTTATAGAATTATAAATTTTTAGGAAACCTTACATTGACGAGTCGATGCATGTAAACTCTGATGATGAGAGTATACCATATAAGAAGGATACAACGGAAGACAGTCCAGAACCCAGTGAACCGTTGAGAGTCATAGACAATCCTGGAGATATAGGAATACCGGTATATGACCAACAACAACAATTTTATACGCCTCCGCAAACTACGGAGCATACGCGCGATGGACAGTGGTCGGGAGAAACTGAAATAAATTAGGATAAGCTATAGATAATTATTTTTACACTTATAAAAGTAATTTTATAACTTTGTAAGGATTTAATGTTTTTAAATGAACATCCGAATTTGTAACAAGTACTTATTTGCTTAATAAATTTTTATTATATACCAGTAAATGTTTTTGACAAATATTATGCAGGATAAAAATGAATAAATATTCAAATAATGATACAATGAAAAACATTACCAATTATGTTAATGTGCTAATTATTTAAAAAAAATATAAAATAATTTAAAATTAGATTTTAATTTTCATAAAAAAATGTATTTTTGATTATAATGAAACCCACCACAGCGAGTACCTTCTATTCTTTTAATTAATATTATTCATAAAATAGACAGGTATAAAAAAAACAAATCTAACATATTGTTTCAAAATATCTTTATTCTTTATATGTATATCGCGAAAGGTATTTTGCGTTATGCAATACTAGCTAATATATACCTATTAACTACCTTTATCAATAAATAAGCTATTTAATTATTTAGTAGTGTGTAAACATTTTTTATAAGTGGCTTGACATTTTTAGTAGTTGTTTAGTGCCTATAGTATAGGAGTCATTCTTATAGTAAGTTATGATGGTAAATATTTATTTACGTAACATTTTTTGTACACAAAATATTATGAAATATATTTTAGGTTTATAACTCTAAAATAATATCCATCTACCTACCTTGAAATAATAATTAACTGAACATTGTCATCGGGTATTTTTTTTCTACTAATTTTTAAATTGATTTGTTAATTTTCATTTAAAGAAAATTAAATACATACCCACTAAAACGTAGTTCTTTATTTTAAAAAATATTGTAATTTTCATTGTGTAAAATATATACCTACCTCAACCATTTATAAACATACCACTCCTTCTTGAGTATTTCCGCAGTGGGAAAATTCTAAGCTTAGAAGTAGAGGGGGAGAGGATACTGACATCTAAAGGGCTCTAGGGTCGCAACGAATTTAATAGTAGTAAAGATTGAGTACCAGCAAGAAATAGTGCCTATTCATAAAGAGACCAGCGACTGCTTTTTTTTAAATAGAGAATAATGAAATTATACTTCTTCCTGCGTTATCGATAAATGGCATAGAATGAAAGGTAAAGCATCCCTCTTAAAACATCACCAAAGGAAGAAGGGATTGTTAGTAATAGGAATTAGCAATTCTATTGCTAGCAATTAATTGATGATAATGGAATGGTAACCCAGCCTGCGCTAATGGTATACAATGGCGGGGCACCATTGAGGGGTGATTGGTGGAAATGGAAAGGCAGGTCAGTTAACCCATCGTGATGAATACACCAGGAATTCAGAACGATGGTTTCCAGGGGGGACCACGTGGAGGTCAATCTGATAGGGCATATTGCTAGCAATGGGACTGTCCGGATAGTCCGCATTACTAACAATCCCTTCCCCCCAAAATATACCCTATTTTTTTTGTTGGATGAAAATGGAATGGTATCCCTATCTGCGCTAACGAGATACGCTAGCGGAGCACCAGTGAAGGGTGATAGAAGAGGATGAATACAGGCCAGTTAGCCCATCATAATGAATTCATTTGGAATTAACCATGATAGTTTCCAGAGGGAACCGCGAGGAGGTCGACCTGGTTGGGTAGATTGGGATTCTCAGTCTCCATTACTAACAATCCCTTTCCCCCCAACTATCATGGTTAATTCTTAATGGATTCATCATGATGGGCTAACTGGCCTGTTTTCATTGTCATCAATCATCTTTCACTGGTGCCCCGCCAGCGTATCCCATTAGCGCAGGCGGGGTTATCATTCCATTATCACCCATCAAAAAAAAAACAGTATACCGTTAGCGCAGGCGGAGTTACCATTACATCATTACCCATTAAAAAAAAACTGTTGGTGTATCTTTTGTTCTCTTTTTACTAATTATATTTGTATAAGAAGAAAGGAGGTAATCATATGATTTACAGTTTTTATTTTATAATTCTTTCTATGTAATTCCTTGTTCTTAGAGTCATTCATACAAGTCAGTCAACATACACTTAAATGTCAATCATGCTGCCGACGTCAATGTCAACTTCTGTTTTATTCAGTTGCTCTATGTTTTATAGTGTTATTTTACTAGTACAGCTGGTTGCTGTAATTGCTGTGGCGTTTTAACAATATTTCATTAATTATTTAATAATTAATTAGATGTCGGAAACTAGTACAGTTGATTAAAAGCATAAAAACACCTAGGTCAGTGACTTCTTAAAATAGGGAATTCATTTCTGATTTGTCTTCTATTCTTGTTTAGTTCTATACACTAAAAAGTGATGAATTGAATAAATAATATTCATTGACCTATTAAATACGTTAATCTGAATAAAAATCTCTCTCTAGCCAGCTAAATCATTTTAGTTCCTATGAAAATATAGAAACAGCATTACAAAATGTAAGTAACAGCTACGTACTTTTAGTTAATTAGATATAATTCTTTAATCAAAGAGCATATGAAACCACTTGATTCAATTTTGAAATGTCGGTTATAGTAGCATTGTTAATATAATTTTATTTTAAAATACACATAGTAAAAGACATAGACTGCCCTTATTTCAGTCAACATATCCTTGTTTCTATGTTTTAATTAGCTTACCTATAATCCATTGAGTAAATAAATATTCTCAGTTCTAAAGTATATTTTAAAAAATAATCACCTAATTATAAAATGTGATAAAAATTTATTAATAACTTTATTGTTACAGAACTAATTAATTCATACTACCTATGTATGTTACTCAAATAATGGAACACTGTACAATACATCTTTAGCATTCAACATGAACATTAGATCTAAAAATGTTGTATCTTGGTTATTTCTTCGACCCTGGCTAGGGGTACCATTAGGCATATGGATAGCTGTATCAGTTGTTTATTACTGGTGGTTAATATCAAGGATAAGTGTTTTAGAAACACAGAATAAAGTTTTCAAGACCCAATTGAGATTGTCACAGAGTGTGATGAGACAGATGTCTGTGGACTCGGTCACTACATACAAGGTTCCATTTGTAAGTATATTGAAGTACATTCATTTATTATTTATAGGATAATAGTAGGAATGACTTTGTGCATTAGTTGACACTGCCAGACACTATTCAAGTATGGTCTATGAATAGTTACTTAATTGATTATTATCAAGAATTCATTGCATTAGTTTCAAAAGCTATATACATGTAAATCTAATTTTTTGTTAAAACATATTCTTATAACAATCCTTTTTCTCTATTTACTAAAAAGTTATTAAAATCACATTCACAAAGCACTATTACATTATTATATACAGTTACATTGCACACACTGCAATATTTGACTGGCCCGTTAGGGATCATAATTGTCAACATACTTTATTTTTACAAAGCTCTGAAATTAACCTAGCCTAACCCATTAAATGGGGGGCAATGGATTGTTAGTAATGGGGTCAAATAGCCCCATTACTAGCAATATATCCTGTCAGGTCGACCTCCATGTAGTTTCCCCTGAAAACCATCATGGCTAATTCAAGTTGAATTTGTCAGGATGGGCTAACTGACCTGCTTTCATTCTCATCAATCATCTATTACTGGTGTCCAGTGTACGCCGATAGCACAGACAGGGTTACCATACCACTATCACCCATTTAAAAAAAATCCTATTAGAAGAAAAAAGGATAGAAAAAAGGGATCAAATAGCCCCGTTACTAACAATATACTCTGTCAGGTTGACTGCCACATGGCTTCTCTGTATTTATCAAGATTAGTAGAATTTATCAAGTTGGGCTAAATGACCTCTTTTCTTCCACTTCTGTCACCTCTTATTGATGCCCCACTGGTGTACACCAATAGCGCAGACAGGATTACTATTACATTATTATCCATTAAGAACCCATTGGGTGTAGCCATGTATGGACTAAATTAACTGAATGTAATTCAATATCTTATTTCTGAACTGAAAATTAAATGTAGAATAAAACTAAAAATTGAAAACGTTATTAATTGTCATAGTATTCCCTTATTTTTAGATTCCTGACACAATGGGTACACTCTGTGAAACGGTTCACATAGCCATGGTGTGCATGGGCAAGTGTATGAGATTAGTTACACCAATGATAAAATCTTTATTACACCATCGCCAAAATCCACTGCATTTTCATTTTATTGTGGATGGTACATCACAGGAAATAACTAATATACTGTTTGATACATGGGATTTACCAGATGGTGAGTATTGTAACATTAATATATAGTTACAAAAATATACTGTTGCTTGGGCATACAATTTTAAATAAAAGCCCATATAAAATTGTATATGTTATTATGATGAAATTATTTTAATGTCTTGTTTAATAAGATTTTATATTTGCACGCCTACAGTGTGGCAGAATAAGATTGGACTATTTTTCTTGTAAAGTAACACCTATAAAAATGTACCTTATTCCAGCAAATAAATGATTTCAATTTCATATAGAATTTTTATTTCACTATGTTGTGAAGATTCATGTATTATTTAATTTTTACATTATAGTAAAATACACATGCTACGATGCACAAAACTGGCTGCCCCAAGTGAGATGGATACCTAACAGTCACTACTCCGGCATATATGGACTTGTGAAGCTGTTGTTCCCCAGTATATTGCCAAATTCATTAAAACAAGTTATTGTACTGGATTCAGATTTAACATTCCTTTGTGATATTGCTGAGCTGTGGAATTTGTTTAGGAATATGTCTAATGATCAGGTAAGTTTGTGTTTTACACAATGCATAATATATTATTACAATTAGCATCCTATTAAAGAAATATTCTGTCAGTAATACTGAATATTTTTCCTGAAGAAATATGGATCATGGGTTGAATAACAACGAAAAATGTTAAGACTCTCATATTAACACAACTCTAAATCTAGGATGGCTCTAAATTTGTTGTTTTATTGTTTGTTAGTATATATTATTTTATTTACTTTATATACTTTCAGTTTATAGGTTTAGTAGAAAACGAAAGTGACTGGTATTACGACACAGTTAAACATTGGCCGGCGTTAGGGCGAGGCTTTAACACAGGTGTAATGTTGCTTAACTTACAAAAGAGCAGAGACGCCGACTGGACTGCACTTTGGCATGATGCCATCAACGAGAACTTAGACAGGTTGAAACACACCACTCTAGCCGACCAGGATGTTATAAATGCAGTTATAAAAAATAATCCATCAATTGTGTACAATGTCAGTTGTCAGTACAATGTACAAATGTCAACTAAAACTATGGCAAAGAATTGTTACGGTGAAGATGGAGCTTATGTTAAGGTAAGTCATTCATGGTTTCTAGCGATGATAGTTTTGACATCAGAGACCCTTGTTATTCCTGCTTTACATTAACGATTTGCCCCATGTTACACAGTATAACTGTACACTGTTTGCTGATGACGTGTCCGTTGTGATACCATGCAATGATACTGAAACATATAATAATGAAATAAATGGAACAATAAGTAAAATAATAAAATGGCTAAAGAGTAATAACTTAAACATTAACTATAATAAAACTACATATATTCAATTTATTAACAAAAACGGGACAAAACAACCACTGAATGTAACTTTTGCAGGCAATATAATTAAAGAAAGTTCACAAACAACTTTTTTAGGTGTCTCATTGGATGATAAATGTTCCTGGGCTGATCACATTCATAAACTATGCAATAAAGTAAATTCATTCGCGTATGCTCTCTGGCGACTAAGAAGGATTAGCAATAAAGAAACAGCTTTACAGGCATACCATGGTTATGTCAGCTCTATTTTGAGATATGCCATACTTCTGTGGGGTAACTCGTATTATGCAAGCCGTGCCCTTATATCACAGAAACAATGCATCAGGGCAATCTGTAACGTTGACTCACGTACATCTTGTCGATCATTATTCAAAGAGCTAAATGTACTTACTGTCCCATGTAAATATATATATGAGGTATGCATATTCGCAAGAACACATTTACATTTATTTAAAAAGAAAAGTGATCTCTGTAATTTTAACACAAGGAAGCCTCAAAACTTAGTACTACCTTATAAAACTACAACTTTGTATAGCAGAAATGCCTACTGTATGACAATAAGCATTTATAATAAATTAACGGACGAAATAAAAACACTACCCTTGAATATATTTAAAAAGAAACTGAAAAGATGGCTAATAGAAAAATGCTTCTACTCGGTTAATGAATATTTTGAATATTTTAAAGCTTAAATATGTGACTCAATTAATGTAATTTGTAATTTGTCAAATGATTGTAATTTGTAATCTGTATAATTTATTATTAATACTGACATTTATTTAATATGACGATTTCAGTAAAATAGTATTAGCATAGTACAGTGGAACAATTAAATAATTTTGTACGCCAGATTCTGGTGAAAAATGTGATCAATATTTAAATATTATATTCCATCTTTTATACCATTTTTCAAACAAAATAAAGTTATTTGTATTTGTATTTATTTGTATTTATTTGATAGTGATAAAAGTATAATACACTAATGCAAATGAAGGAAACTTCAAATAAAAACCTTATGCACATTACTATAAGGTTTATTTGGAGTTTTCCTTTCTGCAAAACATTTCCTGTTAGAAAAGATTTGTATTTCTGACACCACATTATGAGAGTTCATAACTTCTGTTGATCAAAGTGTAGCAACGTCGCAATTACATATCTGTCATTTTTCAAAAACAATTCAACTTATTTTACTGTTTCTGACAGATTATTTTAAAAAATGCTCTGCTAGCGAAACAAAATGATAATTACGAGTATAGAATGTGTTGCTATTATTAAAATAAAAATCTACTATTAAAAATTTGCACTTGCTTTGGAAATTTTTATATAAATATTTGCCATCAAAATCCAATTTCTCAGTGACAGCTTAATAAGAGTATTACTGCGTGATAACGTGTTAGTTATATATGCTGACTTTTTTTTATACAACTTAGAGTGGCAAACAAGCTGATGATCCACCTGATGGTAAGTGGTAACCGTCGCCTATAGACATGAGCAGTACCATGGACATAACAGAGTATACTGTTTCGCCCATGATACCCTCCATGCGTTGCCATTCCTGAGGACTCGGGTGTTATATCTGTACTCTGTTTACATATCTCATTTCTGATTATTTGAAAGAAAGCGCATCATATTTATGTATTGAATGGTATCAAAATGTCAAAACTGCCAAAAAATTACTTCGCAATGTTAGAATTTTACTGATGATATGTGATTGCGTTTGTAACCTGGTTCCTTACAAGCATAGGAATCAAAGATGTCCTTACATTTCTGGCTTGTCTAACTAACATAAAATAATATTGATTATATTTTTGATAATTATTCTATTATTTCTACAATTTACAGATAATCCATTGGAATTCTCCTACTAAGTACAATATAAGAACAAGGGATTCAGATTTTTTTAGACAGATCCATCAATCGTATGTGAATTTTGATGGGAATCTACTTAAAGAAAAACTGCACAGGTGCTCTCAAGAGGATGTTGTAACCTATAAGGTATTTTACACTGTCTTCATCTTGCTTCAAGTTTTCACACTTAGTAGAGATGTACTGTGAAAACCTCTGTCTTCAGATCTTTTTGATGTCCATTAGCTTTTTTAAATTTGATTGTACAAAGTTTATTTGAATTTCTTTTCAAAATAGAAAACTATTAAACTACATATCCAGTGCTTTATTGATAAAGTTACTACGCTTTATGTGTGCGGTCAAACAGCAATGATAAATTTTGTCCTAATTTTATTCATGCAATTTGGAATGGCGAAAAATAACGCCCACCTTTGGCAATCATTTTAACCATGAAATGCTGTATAGTTCCTCTCATTTCCTGTGGCCTCTAATAATAAGCCTGCAGGCACAGCTGCTTAGCGACAAAAACACGAGTGTGGCAGAAGTGTACCCTCCTTTTAACTGATATTAACTTACTGATGTGATATCTACATTTAACATTTGCAAATTATTGATGATTACCACTTTCCATCAGCTTGTTTGCCATTGCGAAAAAAAAATTTTATAGTAAGCAAGTATTCATTCATATGAGTCAACTAGGAAATTATATAAGACATGTCTCCTTTAATTAGTTCACCTTTTATACCTAATATATAGCTACAGTTGTTTCATAACATTCTCTACGACAAATACTTATATGGGCATTTTTTTTTTTATTTGTAGATGAACCATTCTGATCTATGCCTTAGTTTCCGAGCGGCCCAACGAGTTAAACTGCGCACGCATGTTTATTACATGGAATATAGTTACTCGGACATAGACAATTTCGACGTGACTCTAGTGGTTCAATTGTCTATGGATCGACTACAGTTCCTAGAACGACTTGTCAAGTATTGGGAAGGTGAGTTAACCATAGAAAATTAAGATACATTTATATATGTTTTAAAAATGTAATTCTGTTATGTATGAATATTGGAGCTTGACCATCTACACTACTATAGTATACACATTGCAGTCCTGTGTTTATTTCTCAGTGTCAATTTATGATTAGAAATATAACTATGTTGAATCTAAAATGACTTTTTCTAATTATTTTGGGTACTGCCTTATTCAAGTAAGGTGCCATGGGTGTCATAGTATGATCTGTAATTGTTAATTCTATCATTCGTGTTTTAAGCAATAGCTACCATTTTCCACTAGGTGGGTTTTTAACTAGCATTGCTAGTACTTGTCTATAAATACTAATATTATAAAGAAGTAGAGGTTTGAATGAATTTAATGAATAAAAACTCTTTATTGTTCCTTTAAAAAAATTATACAGATTACAAAGATTAACAATATGTTTACAAAAAAAAATTAAATTTCAAATATTTAATCACAAAAGCAAGATAAAGAGGCAACAATAGATGGCCTAATCGCTAAATAGTGATATCTTTACATTTGACTGTTTGTTTGTAAATGGATAAACTCAAAAACTATTCAACTGATTTAAAAAATTCTTTCACCTATGGGAAGCTACATTATCAGCAAGTAAAATAGTCTATATAATATTTTCGAAAATTCTATCAACCCATGCGAAGCCGGGCCGGATAACTAGTATTTTATATCTGTGGTTCTTCATATTATCTGACTATAAACTAATATATTTGTAGGACCATTGAGTGCGGCTATTTACCTATCAGATTGCGATGTTGCTAAATTCGAGAGTTTTATAAGCGATTGGTCAGATACATTAAGTACGAGAAGAAATATAGGATACCATCTCGTTTTCAAACACGATTCGGTAAGTTTAATGACCCATCGTTTGAAATATACTTGTATTACACCTTTCTGTTGTTTACTTACTACTGCAAATAATAAAAGCGCTGAATAAAGCTAACACCATGATCTTATTTTAATGGGTGAGAATGAAATTATAACCCTGCCTACAATATCGGTTTACACTGACGGGGCACTAGTAAGAGATAATAGGTGAGGATCAAAGCAGGTCACCTAGTCCTTCGTTACGAATTTAACAATAATTAGCACGATAGTTTCTAGGGGAAACCGCGTGGAGGTCGGCCTGATAGGGTATATTGCTAGCAATGGCTGTTAGTCTCCGTTACTATAACAATTCCTTTCCTTCCTCATGATATTAGTAATACCTTTACGATTATAAATATAGAACAAATGTAAGCGAATAAGTACAAAAATATACATATTTATGGTCCTTCGAGTCGGATTAAAAATTATAATGTTATAAAACATGCAATATTACATTTTTTTTTCAACATGTATATTTGTTTAAAATAAACTATAAATAAACATTAATTCTTACATTAAAAAAATATCATTGATTAAGGTACATTACCCGGTGAACTATCTCCGCAATGTGGCGCTGGAGCACGTGAACACGCCGTATGTGTTCCTAATGGATGTAGACTTCGTGCCGATGGTGGGACTGTACGAGCATTTGCGAGATGCCATTAGGATCATCAACCCTTATCCTCAAAAAAAGGTTATTCATTTCGTTAAGTTTCTCTGCAAACCCAGATGACTTTTGTCGAATTTGCCTTTCTGAACAGTATTTTAGACCAAACTAAAGCAATTTTTTTTTTATTTACTAGTGTTTACATACGACCTCGTCGACGTAACTGGAATGTGTTCATCGACTGGATTAAAAGCCTAACGTCTTTCTTTATTTCTAATTTATTTCAAGTAGTATATGTATATCAAATTTCATATTGATTGTTTAAACCGTTAAAGCGGCAAGAGATAACAAACAAACTTATTGTCGCGTTTATCATGTCATGTTTCAACCGTGAAGCAGTTGTGTTTGCATGTCTGTGTTTCGATTTGAAGGGTGGGATATGGCGTGAGTTTACAGGGTACAGAGGAATAACACCTGAGTCCTCAGGAATGGCAACACATGGGGGGTATCATGGGCGAAACAGTGTACTTTGTTATGTTCATGGTACTGCTCATGTCTAGGCGACGGTTACCACTTTCCATCAGGTGGGCCGTCAGCTTGTTTGCCATTCTAAGTTGTATAAAAAAAAAAAATAGTAATAATGAAGTTAATTCGTCTTAATAAATGAATTGTTAAGATGTATTACTAAATTGGAACAAACCTGAACTGGATTGTAGTATGAACATTATTTCTTACATAATATCCGATTCAAAAAAGGAGGAGGTTCACAATTTGATTGTATTTTTTGTTTGTTACCTTCCCTCGTATATAAATCTGTTTGAAAAAATATTTTTCTATCTGAAAGGCTGTACTTTAAGATTGGTCCCTTGAAAATTAATTTATTTCGGTCTGGTAGATTGGATTTTGAATTAAAATAACTGGTTTTATCATACAAATTTGGGGCACAAAATAGTAGGCCGAGAATAAATCGAAACTGGCATTATTAGTATATTATAGTGCAGCTTAAGCGTAGTGGTATAGTAACCGTGTGGGCGGTGCGGCGTGCAGTGCCTGGTGGTGGCGGCGTTCGAGACGCAGCGGTACCGCGCGTCACCGCCTCGCAGCAAGGCGGCGCTGGTGGCGCGGCTGGCGGCCGACGTGGCGCCGTTCCGGGCGCGCGAATGGCCGCGCGGACACCGCGCCACCGACTACTCGCGCTGGGCCTCCGCCACCGCGCCCTACGAGGTCACTACTACACCAAGTTTTTTTTTAATGAGTGATAATGGAATGGTTACACTGGCGGGGCACCAGTGAAAGATGAGAGGTGACGATGAAAGCAGGTCAGTTAGCCCATCGTGACAAATTTCACTGGAATTAACCACGATGATTTCCAGGGGGAACCGCGTGGAGGTGGATCTGATAGGGTGTATTACGAGCAATGGGTCAGTTAGATCCAAGCTACACCAAGTAGGAAATTTCATGTCCTCTCTTACTGTACTGGGTTCGCTGGAATAGATATTTTTCAGAGATTAGCCCACCCTTGCTAGCAACTTGTTAAACTAATCGCTTTATCTTTTTTTTCAAGTGCAATCATAGTTCTAAAATTAACTATATTTTCTCTCTAAAGATTATTAATTTGAATTTTCTTATTTTACATAATAATACTTACGTATGTATTTAGGTTTTTTTGTAATTATTTAAATAAAATCCCACTAAAACTTCATAATTAAATTCTCCCAACTAAAGTTTGTTGCAAAATGCGCTAGATGGCGCTCCTATATTTTTATAATATTATCATAAACCAGCATACAATTTATTACTAACATTTCAAATACTGTTTCAATATTATAACGTGTAATTTATATTGTCTATATTTCTGCAGGTGGAATGGCAATCTGATTATGAACCCTATCTCGTAGTGCACAGAACTGTTCCTAAATACGACACGCGGTTCTCCGGTTTCGGTTGGAACAAGGTATGTATTTTGTAGTGCTATTAGTTGGTATTTACATATATTGTTAGTACAGTCACAAGTGTAGCTCTAATGTTAGCACTTTCCATCAGGCTCTCTGTTATTCCCGGTTGCATAACAAATATAAAACGGTAATAAATAAAAATTATAAAATACAGAGACATAGCACTATAGTCCTCCGGAATGGCAACACTTTACTATTATGATATTATAATTATTTAAAAAAATAAATAAACATATGAGAAGTATTATGGGTGCTAGAGCTATTTATGTATGTTTATTATATAGGCTACACCTACCACTTTTCATTAAATCGGGCATAGCTAGCTTATCTTTTTCAGTTACAAAGATTCTCTCTTATTATTGTCAAGTTTTTTTTTGTTTCAAGGTGTCACACAGCGTGTCGCTGCGGGCGCTCCGCTACCGACCGGTGGTGCTCCCGGGGGCCTTCGTGGTCCACACGCCCCACGCACCCTCCAGGGACATCACCGCCTTCCGTGCCGACCCGCACTACCGCATGTATGTATTGGAAGCTCTTATAATAATTTTCTGTAGCACAGTACTATATCATAACATTTTACTGTCTCGATACATAAATATATATTATAATAAATATATATGGAGATGATTTTAATTATCTCTAATGATTTATAAGAAACAGGAATTAAGGCGATCATTTAGGTAAAATTTGATGCTCACCTGATGGAACTGTGTCACCCATGATACCCTTCATGTGTTGCCATTCTTAAGGACTAAAGTATTATGCTTTTGTACCCTGTAATTTCATTGGCGTATCCCACCTTTAAAACTGAAACGCAGCTATACACACGCAACTGCTTCAAGGCAGAAACACCGAATGGTACAGAGGTACCCAAACAAACGACTCTTGTACGATCTCCTTCAGCTCAAATCATTATCATCTTATAAATTATAAATCATGCAGTGTGACAGTCCTAAATATTCTCTCCAATCGTTTTTGCCATCCACGATATTATAAAGGAAAATTAAAAACATTACTGCGTCATATTTCTAAATGTACTCACTAAATTTATTACATAATACATAGCATTTTAATTTAATAAATGATAAAATAACCACCTACTCACTTCTATATGTTCTCCTTTAACCACAGGTTGTATGTAAGAAATTGTCCTAGCGATAAAACCGCCTTTTGTACCTTGATGTATATATTTCAATCTGTATTTATGTTACTATATTTCACTTGAATTAAAGTTAATAAGTAGTGCAGTAAAGACTTAAATAAAATATAAATAAAATATATTTGCAGATGCCTAGCTCTCCTGAAACAAGAGTTCATGGACGATCTCAAGAGGAAGTACAATGTTACATTCGATGAACCCTCTAAGCCAGATTCCTTATATTTGGGACAGGCGAAGAGCCTCCTACTCAATATGGCAAAGGATGGTGATTGATTCTACTGAATATCCCCTGTTATATGGTATATGTATTAATATTATTTTTTATCAAAATAAGTTTCTGTAGGGATGTGCGAATCAATATCGTTACTTTAATATCGACAATCCGATTCAAACTATCAACTCTACAGACAAGTAGCAAATGAATCTATCGTGATAATCGTTTCGGTTAGCCTTCGAGTGTGAAAGAGAATGAGACATTGTGTATCGCAATATTATTCTATCTATTGGGCTTGTTTTATTTTGTATTTTTAGTATCGATATCAAAATATCCGATGTTTGGTCCTAAATAACAATATTGGATAATATCGCTCATCCCTAAATTTCGACAGTTCTATTTGTAGTTTTCACAAATGATATAAATATTTTTTTTTTCTAACAATTCTGAACAACTACTTGAATGAAACATCAATGGTATTATATTTTTTTATTTTTATTTTTATATATTTATTTCTATGTGGAAGAAGCGAGAGAGGTTTGTTTGAATCGAAGTATTTGGCGTTCTATTGTTTTTGCCTACCCTAATGGAAGACAGGCGTGACAGATATGTATGTATGTATTTATTTCTATTTTTACTTTCGTGCTATTATTTACGGGTTTTATATTTACAACTTTAAAAATAAAAATATGTAATTCACGTATTTTAATATTATTTACAATTTAATAATATACAGCAATAAATTTTAAGTTATTAAAAAAATACATTAGAGTTAACTATTTATTACACAATACCAAAGTTGTAAAGCGCAAATCATGTCTGCTATGTTGTGTTATTTGCTTTGCCTCGTTACGTTGTTTATAATTATCTTTATAGCCAAAGAGCCCGCTGCTGGCCTCTGTACGTATAAAATTTTTTAATGAAACATACTCATTAGTTGTTAGTAACATTAACTACTGTGTTGTCGTCAAGTTAATTCAACAGCTATTATTTGCTTCATGTTAACTACTTATAAAAACTAGCCCCAATAATAAACGAATGTTAAGGCTTTAAATATTTTTATATAATAAAGATGAATTGTTTTTTTTTTTTATGTAAGAGATAAAATAAAATGAAAATATTTGTATTTTATATATAATTTAAGTTAAATAATGCAGTATTACAAGTATCTCATGTTTTCACAAACATACATTACCATCATACATGTAAATACATATTGAATTGAACATTCGAAAATCAACCGACTTTTCAAAAAGAAGGAAGTTCTCAATTTGGTTGTATTGTTTTTTTTTTTTTATTTATTATCGTCATTAACTCCGTCAGTTCTAAACTGATTTGGAAAATTCTTTTTTTTTATCTGAAAGAAACCATACAAATTGGTCCTATACATATTTTATCACAATCGGTCGTTTAGATCAGTAAGTGGGACACAATCTTTAATTATACATATTGTAATACATGTATAAGTTGTGATTTTTGTTTGCGTAGATATCATAGCAACCATTCCATTCAAAATAATTATCACAAAACGTATTGCATTATTTGTGACATGTATGGTAGAAATAACACGGGGAGGCGGATATTATTAATTATTTAATTATGGCAACTGGACAGATTTTACATTTGAAATGAAGCTATTCCTAAACATGATCATATATTGATCTAGTAGTTTCATAGACGGAATTCGTAAAAAAGTAATAAATTAACTTATTATAATGAAATATCAAGTCGAATCAATTCCACTTTTTGTTTATTATATTTTCTAAATTATATAATGCAAATATAATATGATATATTCATTAATTCATCCTGACGGATATGTACGTATATTTTTGTACGTAATTGTATTTTTTCACGATAGGCTTCTTGAAGGAAAGCCACTGTAAAAAAGGAAAGTGGATGGATGAAGGGGTGTTGAATAAAACATTCTATAGATAAAAATATAAATGTGAAAGTTTGTAAAGATGTTCGTATATTTAGAATTTTGTTTCCTAAACACTTTATGAATGTAGTACATAATGGGATTAAAATAACGATAATATGTAGCGTTCACATTGAGCCAGGTTGGCTACATGCATTTTTATACGTAATTCATAATTATCATGACATATTATTTTTACCTAAATATTAGCAATTAAAAAAATTATTCTTTTAAGGATTCCATAGAATCAAAATGTTCGTATTTCATGAATTAATAAATAACTTATGTTCAAATTTACACATAAAACATCGTAAGATTAGGAATGTTAAAATTATATAGATTTTTTTTTTTCAATTATGAATCTCAACAATTTTCACTGTTATTATAGATTTAAGAACAATTTCGACCAGTGTTTAGTGTGTATTTTACATTCACATTTACTAAACATTTCTATTGTTTCATATTGGATCAAGTTATTGTACAGAAGGTATGTCATAATAAAAGTACATATTTTATTCTGTCACATCACATGCCACACATTCGAAAGCGGAAATATGGTAATTTTCAACAGTGAAACTGTATTTTTTTCTGGTTGTAATTTATTTTATATTTAACTTTAATAAATCGGGTTAAGTAACAACAAAACCAAGATATCTCAATTGTTTGTATCTTTATCTCAATGTCTTTGCCCCAGCCAACATCAATTCAATTCGTCATCGATGTTTAATTTTGTGTGCAAATGTTGATTTCTGAATTTATTATGTGCTAGATTACATAAATTTTATAAAACAAAATAGATTTTAATTCAATTTTTTTATACATACTGTACATTGACTGATATGAGATTATTTAAATTCATTTAATTTTTCGACTTAATTCTTTATTATTTTTTAAAGATATTGGTATCTATGCAATAAAAAAGTTAAAAGCCATTTCCACAACTCGAGACTTTATGTGATTTATATGTAATGTTGGTATTATTTAGTTTTAAGTACCTATATTAGGTAGTTGAATTGATTATTTTTTATATTTGAATATGTTGTATTAAAGAAGCTTTCCAAATAGCCAAAGATGATAAGTAAATGTTAAATGTAATTAATTACAAATGAATAAATCTTCTCTTCGACATGATGCCTATAAACCATCTTTTACCATCGCACCACTCGCTATAGGAAAGGAATCTATCCTCATACCCTAGAATTTAAATGGTCACGCACAGTGCGAATTTCAGAGAAGATTTCTCTTACAAATGCTCTAGTTGTAGAATGATCTTCCTGCTGAGGTTTACCCTAGAGACTACAGCATGAGGTCCTTCAAAAAACCTTAATAAAGTTTCTGCTACGGTAATTCCGTTTACCATCATACTAGGCGTATAGTTGTTTGCCATTATAAATAAAAAATTTAAATGAGAAATTTAAAGATTTTGTATAATATTTTTAGACGTTGTTCTTTTCAAGGTGTTGATCAAAGTGAAGTTTGCTCCAATACTCCAGTTTAGACATGAGTTCGTAATTAAGTCATGGCCAAACTTAAATGTGATAAAATAATGGTAATCACAAACAAGGACAAACACAACGTATAGACAATTATTAACACCGAAAATACATTGAAAAAATATATAAAAATACGAACCAAACTTGTCTGCAGATAATTTTAATTTATATTTTAACGATAAAGTTATCTTCGCTGTGTGTTAATGGAAAATTGATTAGTACGAAAAATGATATCGTAGGATATGTGCTACACTATAGATTATATTATCTGATATTGTCGGCGCCATGCGTGACCTTAATTACACTCTATTCCAAAAACAAAATTTTGCTATTATTTAATATTGCACCTACATATCAACGGATTTAAGTTGAATTTTGATTTGAGTGCCTTGTGTATTTCTGCATGTATCAAGAAAAACTTAAATTCAAATTGCGTTAATTTCTTGACTTATTTTATTCCCGTTTATAAAACACAATAAATGTATAAATATAATCATTCCTAATGAAACAAACATCAGTATATTGAGTAGATATTATTTTTGTAAGTTTATTTTATTCTTAAGAATTGTGCATAATATCTATGTGATAATTTGATGACTATTCTTTACATAATACATGTATATTTATTGCAATAAAACATGATATTTTTAACATGTATTTTATTTCCAAACCCCCTAATAATTCTTTTACAATCAGATTATTAGAAACTAATTGGAAAATCGGAAATACAGATAGACTGGCGATTGCTAATTCATAAGTACCATTATTATCATTGCCTGAACTTTCTCTCATTTTTTTGGAATTAATTGGAATCAATATTTACAGCACATTTTCCTTTTCGATTATTTTCTGTCACTATCAACAAATTTTTTTTAGTTGTTGTAACTAACTACTATACGTTTTAATTGGTCTGTTTAGAAATCCTGCAATGAGGAGGAGGGCGTTTATATTCGCGACACAGTTTTATACTTCTACGGATATCATTGTTTTTTAATAATATTGTAATCAAAGTTTTTGTTCCAAATAAAGAATTATTATTATCTAGTTGAATTTACTCTTACTCAGAGCAAATTACCAACTATTTGTAACACATGCCAAGTATTACATAAACAAATTAATTAATTAATTGTTTAATTGTAACTTATGTAAGCAAGTCATATTATTAGATTTTATTTTATTTCATATTAATAAACTTCAGTCCCAATCATTCTCGATTCAGCGTTAGCAAGTAAATTATTACTATTGGGATTTTCTTTGGTAGTCAACATCCACAACAAGACTATTATCTGGAAGTCCATTTCTTGGATATCCTTTTTCAGATTTCCAACGGCTTTTTTCGCTGTCACTAATGGCGAATTGTCATTCATAGCCGATCCCCTAGATTCCGTACGTTGTTTTATGTTCTCCACTTTGGCAGTTATCTCATTCAACATTTCTTGCCTCTCTGTCACGCCCACACTCACTTCTTTATACTCATTGGTAACTTTATTTAATTCATCCAAAAGAGAACCATACTCTCTCACTAAAGGTTCAAATTGTTCGTTTAGTATGTTCTCCCTAGCCGAAATCTTATCCATCAGTGAAGTAATATTACTATATAATTTATTTAGTTGGACACCTGTAACCTTAAATCTATCAAAAAGTTCGTCTCTGTATGTTCTCATTTGGGAATGTCTCGCTCTCCAGTCTCGACCGTCGGCAGAGATCTTTAGTCTTAGAGCCGGTGCCACTCTCTCCAACTCTAATTTCCAAGATTCCCAATCGTGTATTTTAGTGGCAATATTATTAGTCTCTTTTTCGTCTGTATTACCATATTCTCCATCTGATTCTTCCGAATATATTGCCATTTCTTCTTCAACTTTGTCAAGAATAATTTCAGTTTCATCCTCTACTTGGTCAACGTCATCGGGGGATTCCTCGGGTTCGGGTATGTCAACTATGGGCTTTTGCCATTCAAAGTGTTGTGCCTTGAGTGCTTCATCAGCCAGTACGCTTAATATATAACAAACTTGTTCTCCAAAACCCTGTTTTAGTTTATGAGAAGAGAAGTCAATTGATACATCTTTTTCTCTCAAAAAATCTAGGATATTAGCTATGGTAGAGTTGGGATCGTCTTCTTCATTGGGTAGTTCGATGTCTTTACCGATCTTCTTAATAAGCCAAGCGGCCGTGGACGCAAACACAAAGAATTGTTCACCAGGATTAGTTGAAGTGACGAAATAGTAGCGACTCATAGGTTTCATTTTGATTTGTGGTCTTAATTCAGTATCGATCTTTAAGAGACGTAACTTATCCATTATATTTAAATCCATATTTATTTTTATTTTATATTTATTTTATCGCACTTTTCAACAAATATGAGAACATTGACGTAATATTCCTATTGTTTTTATTAACTGTTACCATAGCAACCAAGCGTCATAAATACTGCGATCAGAAACCATCTTATGCCTATTATTTTATTACTGGCTCTGTGCCGAGGACAACAAATTATTTAAATATTGTTCCATTGGGACAGTGACGAATGATAGATGTCTTCATCTCTGAAGTCAGACCAGTTGGTAAATCGTGACGAATTTACTAATAACTAGCTGTATCTTGTGGTTTCACCTGCGTGCATCAATATTTAAAGTAAGAATACTTTAAATATGACTATATATAATAAAGACTGCTGTTGCTTATAAAATCAACTACGATGATTTGTCCTTATTACTAACAATTCTCTCCCCATACCTCTATTCCTGTAAATACTATTAAATTAAAGCTCCAAAGTAGCAATTTCTTATCCAAGTCCGTTTCTTGTTTTGGCAATTTCCCAGCAAATTAATTAGTAGCCAAAGTAGAAACTGTTCCGAAATTAGTAAAGCAATAAAATTAAATATATGTTTGGTAACAATGGCGTGACGCATAAAAAATATGCTTTACAAATTGGCAAAGAAATGAGATTCCATTCTGCTCTTTTCAAATTTAACATTTTAGGCAATTATTTGTATTCGATACAAAATTAATTCAGCAATCTTTCTACAGCAGCAATAACTTCAAATAATTAGCGATATTGATATAAAGCGTTCCTGTTTCACACCAGATCCAGAGTACGGTTGGGATGCTTATCCGGACGAGTTAGAAAGCTTACCTATATTTCATTTATTTATTTATCATCATTATTATCACACCGCTACTACTTTTGTCGACCTTTGTGGTACCGCGGTAGACATATTGCTTTATGTAATGAGCTCCCGTGTTCATTTTCGGTCTCGGGTCTGGTCAGCAATAAACATTACTAAGTTGGGTCTGGGTGTTCTGGAGTATGCTTCTGGGTTTTTTTTCAATGGGTATTAATGGAATGGCAACCCCGTCTGCACTACCAGAATAGCAGGTTAGTTGGTCCATCGTGTTTAAAAAAATTAACCCAGATGATTTCCAGAGGGAACCGCGTAGAGGTTGACCTCCCAGCTTCTAGACATTCGTTATTGGTTCCTCGACATAGAGTATCCTAGTTTGAATACCAGATAATTATTAGTAACCGAAATTAGTAGCTCTATTAGGGGGAAGAAGTAATGGGGATTAATTGCCCCCAATACTAACAATATATCCCTTATAGTTTGACCTCCACTCGGTCCCTCCTAGAAACTGTCAAGATTAATTCTTGAGGAATTCACCATGTTGAACCAACTATCCATGTTATTCTCTACTGATTCATTCATATTTCTAATTTCATCCTCACCAACTCTTATCATCTCTCATCAGTGCCCAGTATATATCTATCAGTAGTACAGGCGGATTACCATTCCATTAACTTTAATTAAAAAATAAGTAGCCCCGCAGCTAATAATACACTGTCCAATCCATCTTCACATTATACATATCTTTCGTTTCTTGAAAATTTTCGTATTGAGATCCTATTATCTGCTACACACGTCCATGACACACAAACATCAAAAATGACAAATATGTAGATAGATTCATTAACAATAATATCGCAAAACACTGTTTTTCTTTCTTGAAAACAGATTTAAAAAATCGGTCAAGTTCAACTCGTAATGTTTTTGGCTTGCGATGCCACTACGCATTTCTACACGTCTTTGCGATAGTAAAATATGTACTGTCTTACCACAAAAATAATTGAAATTACTATCTATCTAAATAAAGTTTAATATATATATATATATTTGTAATATTTTGTGCCAATATCTATTAAATACGTAATTTTACGTAACTTTGAATAAATTTCAGTCTTGACTTATTAAAAAAATAAGACAAGCATTTCTTTTTATGGGTCTTAAATACATAAACGTCCTACAAAAACGTACATACAGTATAAAAAATATACAGCGATTAGTTTAATAACTTGTTAGCAAGAGCAAGATTGGGTTTGTCTCTTCTAGCTAACCCTGTGCAGTGCATATATAAGCAAGTACATAGTATTAAATATTATTATTCGCTGCAAATTTCTACAGTGGTAGACAAAAGGCAAACTTACAATCTAAGAAATATAACTTTTATTAATATTTTAGTTAAAAAGTGTGACTTCAATCTTTTCTTGGGAAGTAATGGGAAAACTATCCTGTATGTAAGAAAGAAGTCTTTTGTACAATTGTACAGTATGGGATGAGGAGTTTCTAAAAAAATGGATTTTATAGGTATGGAGTTCAAGGACCTTGGATTAGACCAGGCAAGCACTCGTGGGACGAGAAAGCGGAGACGGAATTCGAAACCGAGATCGAAAGTAAGACGGAGAATTAGGACCAGTATTAAGGATTGTTAGTAATACGGACTACCAGTCCCATTGCTAACAATAAACCCTGTCAAGTCGACTTCTACGCAGTTCCCCCTGGAAATCATCTTGGTTAATTCTTTTTGAATTCGTCACTATGGACCAACTGAGTCTATTGGAAACCAGCGTACTGAATTTCAAGTCTGCCTTTTCATTCTCACCTATCATCCTTCACTGGTGCCCAGCCAGCGCATACTGTTAGCGCAGACAAGTAAGCTGCAGATTTTTGTATTACCTAATAATTTTGACCACAATCGTAGCCACTATTTTTTGTGGAGTGGAGCAAAATATACATTTTCACAATAACATTTTAAATTATTTATCATATCAGGAATAGAAAATATCCGCTGCCTACAGATTTTAATATCAGAATAGTGGGCGCCATGAATTTCTCAGAAATATACTGTGTCGCCGATGGTGGCATCACTAGTGCGTTGCCATTATTGAAAACTAAGATAAAGTACGTTGTGTAGACAAAAGGCAAACTTACAATCTAAGAAATATAACTTTTATTAATGAAAATTTCTCAATTTCAACTATAAGAGAAAATATTAATATGTCAAAATAGATAAAGTAATTCTTTATATTGATTTATTATATTTTCAAGTACACAATTATAGTATTTTTTATATCAATCACACATAAAATTTTAAATTAGATACGAGTGCATTACAAAATTTCTAGATCAAGGATTAAATATTGGTAAAATAGATACAAGTTTGACAAGTAATCACAGTTACAGATTGTCTATCAATCTTGGTGTAGATGTTGTAAGATTGAAGACTATATTGTGTAATTATAGATAGTCTCAATACAGCAAAAACATACCATATTTAATTTGGTGTCTTCGTTGTAATATGCTTTGAATCAAATGATTGGAAAAAGACTGGCTTTATCTCGTATTACTCGCACGATAAAATTAGAAGCACCGGCGACCACCAGCGTGCCGCGTCAGTCGCAACACGGCGCTCACGACGCGGTTGTGTTTCGAGCGCAGAAATTCAAATTTAGAATAAACTTTTCTTTTGTTTTCTTGTTTTTTTTTTTTTTTCTTGGATGCGTTCGGTGTTACGAAACGGATTTAATTTTGTGCCAGTGCGTTTACATCGTACCGTGTTTGTGCAACTTTTGATTGTGATATCTAATACTAAAACGAATTCAATTGTTGGTGTATTGCTGTGATGTGTATTTGGTAGATTTATAGAAAGGTAAGTGCGAAGACATAAGTTTTATGATGTTTAAAAAAAACCTGCTAAATTCCCAAGTCCGGTTACTCAAATGGGCTTTATAAAGGCGGACACTAGTCCGTCTCTCTGTCACCAGGCCATAACTTTCGAACCGTTAGACGTAGACTAAGTGACCGAGATGTCACTTGTATGTAACTCGGCAACACAGGTATACCAATGATCAAACTACTTTTTAAGTAGGTAAGTACTTATCTATTAAGCAGGTACCAAATTTTAAAGAAAGTAGGCATTTACTGGGTATGTTATCTACTGTATAAATGATGATATAAACATACGTAATTATGGGTTTATGACTGAAAACGGTAATGATATTTTAATTTTGTGACTACTAGTTTTAATGATTAGGTAGTGGTATTATAAGTACATAATGTATCTACAACAACAATATATTAAATAGGAACCAAGATAGGTATCCTACCTATTTTATAAACGAAGTGTTAACTGATTAGATATTTGTTATTAATGTAGATACGTAGCTGATAACAGATTGCAATTCGTACTTAGTAATATAAAGCCACAGTAAATTAATTTTAAATAAGTCTTGAATCGAAAGTACTTAGGTATGTAACAATAAAAAATATATCTATCCATTTAGTAAAAGAATCTAAATCAGGTATCAATTAAAGCCTACAATCAATCTAATTATTGTGCTACTTAAAGAATTAAATCGATTGTAAGTATTTAAATGTCTAATGAATATAATTATAGTACTTCTGTAGGTGTTACAAAATATAGTATTTAACTATTCGTATAATGTAACCAAATAAAACAAATCTTTGATGAATTCAGCAATATAATTATGTAAAAAATTTTAGCCGTTTATAGTCAATTCCTAAGTAGTATATATATATATATATACTCGTCAGAGTCCTAGCGTAAGAAATATTTATTGATTTTTGCCCTTGAGGTAAAGATAAGACTCGAAATGCCATATCTCCCTCAGTATTGTAAGTACTTGCACATTTGTATACAACGCGGCTGCAGAGATCCTAGTCAGTTTTCAGAATAATAAGTTTGTTAACGGTGCTTTCCATCAGAGGGAAATTAGTTTAGAATTTAAATTTGTACACATAATTTTCAATGTCATCTAGATTTAAACTTAAGAGAGGCGACGTCTGAAAATTGGGATAGTAAATTACTACGGCGAGATGGTCTCTTGCTTACCTATATAAAGTAATTTAATATTTAATATTAAAAAATAATAATTGGATAATTTAGTAAATAAACAAGTGTTTAATATTTGTACGTAATTTAGATTTTGTAATTTTTGCATATAAAACTTATTAATTCACTCTTGCACCACCTACCCACTTTAATACTCGTATATCTGTTATCCATTAACCAAAGGTTGTCTTAAGAGATTGATCTAGCGATAAGACCGTCTTTTGTACCTTTATATCTATATTTTGATCTGTACTTCATCCTAATTTAATTGAATCTTGTTATTGTCATTATATAATTTTGTGTATTAGATGCAATAAAAATTAAATAAATAATGAGTTAAGACTTAATTTATAGGTATAGAAATTTACACTTTTTGGTATAATTCAAGATATATTATGTGCATTTACGCTGTTTGATCACACTCCAGCATTTTTTTTGAAATTTTTGAGAAATGAAATTCTTGGAGAAATGTTTGGAGACAACTGACAACCCTATTACGCTTTTAAAAGTGAAGGAAAGTGAGCATGTCATGTCGAAAGCAGAGCGCGCTTGTCTTAGATGGCTATTCAGTGCTTTCATGGTACAGAACCTAGCTCATAACGGTCAGGTAGCATTATCGATGCATTCCAATCTTCATACGTTGTCATTATGAATTAAGGTCGATCGTTGAGAACAATGTGCTTTAGCTATTGTTCTTAGATCGTGACAAATTAGATACAAAGACAAAACACGAATAGCAATTAGACCACTTGGGTTTTTCATGTCACGTTCGGGTACCACTTAGTTCATTAATAGACAACTTTTATTGCCTAAAGCTGTCTACGAATGACACGATTTGGCTCACTATTGGTATTATCGAATCAATCTCACGTAAACTAGATCGACCAACTAACAATCGGTTTATTAATCGTTTACAAAATCAACCGAAGATCTTGCTAAAGCTTAAAAAATATTATTACTTTCCGTCAAATTGGCCATCAACTAATTTGCCTTTCCAAGTTGCGTAGAAAAACATACCTATTGATCACAAATAAAAAAAAAATTACGGATTAAAAATTTGACTCGTAGAAACCAAATTTTATATTATTTTTTATACGAAATGCCTTAAAGCTCTCCAAATTTTATAAAGTCCCTAGTTAAAACCAGGCCCATGTCATTTCAAATAAAAAAACATTTATATAAAATCTATACAAATAGTTGATTGAATACGCTATAAAATAGATCTTTTACGTCACCTATCAATATTGATATTTTGGATAAAGACAAATTGTAAATTTGTTCAACACTGACGTGTTAGATATTTCTAGGTGGTTGCATAGATTTATTTTCCAATTTCGTCAATATAAGGGCAATGCTAACTCTTAAATAACGTAATAATTTATTTACATTCCTACTCTGTAGTTATCCTAACTTAAAAAGTTATTTCAATATAAATTTCGTTTCTTCGTAAATAATACATGCAATGACTTCACGCCTCATAGAACATATGTTTGCAAAAATTAAATCCGCTCACGTTGGCGGCCGACACAATCGTACGTGATGAGAATTGCTGATTCTAAATTAATTCCAACTAAAACTTGTTCACTGGCTTCACAAGAATGCATTTGACTGATAAGCAATTAATAATAAGACAACTTATAATATCTTAATAAAGTAATTTAATTAGTACTAATCACCTTTCAAAGATCTTAAATTATTTTTACTATTATGAAATAATCATTTTCATATAGGTATATTGTCTTTGATTAAAGAAGAAATATAATAGTATAATAATATATGGGCATAGATTAAAAGAAGAAATCAATCCACAAAACATTCAAGTATGAAACAATAGTACCAAAACGCAATATGAACATCCTACATCACTTTGGTGCCATTACTATTTTTTTTAATATTGTAGGTTGAATATAAAGTAGCATGAAGTACGAAGTATCAGTAAACAGCTTCATGTAAAGTCTCTGCTGATGTCTCGTTTTTTCAAGGGTGCTGCAACACTTTTAAAAACTTGACACGTTTAGGACACAGACAAATCGACCTGTTTAGTGCCAATTTCCAGGTCAACTCTATTTACTCTGTAAAATTATCAAGTTTGAAGCACTTACAATAAGTTTCCAGTATTACTTACTGGTCGTGTGGTCGCGGCATAGGCCACCCCTTTCTTTCCCGTGGGTGTCGTAAGAGCGAATAAGAGAACTGAATGGTTGAGGGATGGGCAGCAGCGTTTCTCTCTGCGGTTGCCAACCCTCCTGCCAAGCGTGGCAACTACTGGCAAAACCTCCCTTATGAGGGAGGCCTATATTCACTAGTGGACAGTTAACAGCTAATATAATAATAATAAATTACATATTCTGTCGTGAATTGCTTTATTTCCGGTCTGTCCCGTAAAATACTATTGGAACACGTAGAAAATTACATGTTACTTCGATATCCTTTAAAGGTTTTCAATGCATGTCATTGGCATGCGAGTATATTGGACATCCTTTTAACAAAGACAGCATTGCTTTATTGTAAAAACAAAACATGATTGACAGATGCTATGCACGACTCGCTATTCTAAACGAGCTATTGTTTGCGTCGTTACAAACATTGTGTTCTAGGCCTACTAAAAACTAAAGCAGCCTAGGACAATTGAATAGGAATGGAAGATTTCACTCATGAAAATTGTCTACTAGAATTGTATAGGTACATCTTGGGATAATATTACACAAAAACAGCCATACATATGTCGAAATGAAATAATAAAATTTAATCTGTCATATCGCAATAGAATAGTTATTATATTTAATTCTATTTTTGTGGCATTAGAATTTATTCTATTTTATTACATGAAGAATTAAATGCAAATTTTTAATATATAATATTAAGTAAAATATGAACTAATAACATGATGGTTTATATAATAAGCGCCCCGTTACAAGATTAACACAATTTTAAAGACGCGCCGACATTAAAAAAGGCCGTTTTATCGAAACATCTGTAAAATAATACTCTCCTTAGATGATTGATCTAGATTTTAAGAAAAAAGTACGTGCTATATTGCAGAAGTGGTCAACAAATATAATATGTTGCTAACCTAGTGGAAGATACTCAGACGCGATATTCACACTGATATAAATAAGTAGTTACTAAGAATAATTTTTAGTCTTATGTTTACCCTCTTAATAAAAAAATAAGTACTAGAATACAACATAATTGTGTACTTTTTTTTTGATGGGTGAAAATGGTATGGTAACCCCGCCTGCGCTAACGGGATACGCTGGCGGAGCACCAGTGAAGGGTGATAGATGAGAATGAAAGCAGGCTAGTTAGCCTATCACGATGAATTCACCAGGAATTAACCATGATAGTTTCCAGGGGGAACCGCGAGGAGGTCGACCTGGTTGGGTATATTGCTAGCAATAGGATTCTCAGTCTCCATTACTACATATACTACATCATCTCCATTACTACATATACGTGTACTGAAATATGTTCTTTCATTTGAGATTTCAAGACGTAATTGGTAGATCGCTCAAGGTTTCGTTAGTAAACAGTAGATTTTTGGGTCTAGTTAAATCGGTCATCCCTGCTATATTGGATCTACATTTTGATAATCTTTGAAATAAAAAAGTTTCTACAATATTTTATGCCCATTTACCGTTTCTCTACTGCATAGCAAAATAAACATATGTTTATTTATAGCAATAGTTTTATGAGATGATTTAGTTATCTCCAATAACGCCGTTCACTAACCTTTAAACCTTTCAAACCTGTATTGACTGAAACAGATATTAGAACGTAACGTGACCCTGGCACCG